AGTATCTCCAAAGCCTCAAAGACAATAATGGAAGCAAGCACCTCTTCATTGGCAATCTGATCACAAATGCAAAACCCAATAGATCTTTAGGGAGCAAGTATTTTATTCCATTTCAGTTGTACCCTTCACAAAAATATCCTTCCTACTGTGGCGGTGGGGGCTTCCTCCTGTCTGTCCATACAGCTTTAGTCATATACAACATGTCCCAGTCAATTGATCTTTTTCCCATTGATGATGTTTACATGGGGATGTGTCTGGCCAAAGCAGGACTTGCACCTGATTTGCATATTGGTGTGAGGACGCTAACATTTCACATTCCCTCCAGCAAAATAGATCAATATGACCCTTGCTATTATAAAGATATGCTGCTGGTACACAGATTCCTTCCACGTGACACGTATATTATGTGGCAACGAGTACATGAGCCTGGTCTAAAATGTGTTAAGTCATAGAAATAGCTTAACCGCAATTTATGGGTGATAAAGGAGCTTTTTGCCACTTGATGCAAATTAAATATTATTATTATTAAATTATTGTTCTGCTGAAGCTGCTTAATGGGCATCCAACACACTGTCCAATATTTATTTTTAAAATTGAGAGCATGTTTTTACATATTTGCATAACTGCTGTCAACATGTTGTGTTAGTGTTGTCTGCAATACCTTTTGACTATGAACTGTGTTATGTCCATAGCACATAATCTGGACAATACTTTAAATATAACTTAAATTAAATTGCATGTTACTTTGTCTGTTCTTTTGGTAAACCATACATATTAGCTCTGTAAATCACATCTCATGTGTTAAAAGGGAGAAGAGAGAAATTCATACTCCATATTTCTTAGTCTATCTTGTCAGAATATTGTCAGTTTGCTGTCTATGGATGTACTTGTTTCCATACAATCAATAAAAAACTTAATTTTAAACCACATACTTGGAGCAACCTAGATCAGCTTTCCTAGTAACTGTCCTTGTTATCTAAACATATCTTGTCCTGCACATTAGTTTGTTGAACAAGCAACCAAACAGTCACAGGGGAAAAGTGCACTGCTAATGTAGGTTTGCAGTCCATATTAGCCAATTAGCCGGTCAGCTGCAGCACATTAAACAGTAAACTTATCTGCAAATATCACTTCGGTCTGTCTGGCACTTACTCTTCAATGCCACTGCTGGCTTGCAACCTCCTACGCAAGTTTGTTAATCTAGTTCCCCTGCCAGGGCTCAGCCTGCCAGCTGCTGTCAGTCAAACACTGACACACCCCTCCAGCTGCCAAAGGGAGCAATTATCATATTTCCCCAAAGACCTTTTTCCTCCTTTTAATAATAAAAAACTATTGACAATAAAGTTTAAAAACACTGACAATATTTTTGACTGCAACAACGGATGACTATGTGTGATTTCAGTTGGTCTCAGTCTACAGCTATGTGTAATGTTCTAAAGCTGTAGCTTTGTGCTAAATGCTAATGTCAGAATTATGCATGGGACAATATGAAAACTTCATGTCACAATTATCTTGGCCATAATAATTTATAATACAACATTTCCACCATATCTGCTCTAACTGCTTTTGTGGGGGATACAATGGGCAGGCCGAGCCTTCAGCCATGGTGACAGACTTTAGGATTTTGGAATGACTGAAAAGACGCCGGCTCCCCCTTGTCCCCTTGTTCAAAACACATGAGAAAATCAACACAAGACTTCATGCTGGTGAGTTACACAGCTTTTTCAACTCAAGCCATGTGAGGATAATCATGAGTATCCCAATTTACAGTTATCATGATAATGGAACACAATAAATGTATCTGTGTTTTTATCGCGATACGCAATAATATTGTATATCGTCCCATCATAGTCAGAATGCAAACATACAAATAATATGCTGATGTTTAGCAGCTTTTAAGTTTACTACTTTAGTTTAGAGCTAATCTAATTAGCACAAATCAAGATGAAAAGCTAATCATTAGGTCATAGAGCAGGAATTTTGTGCAAGTTTGACCTGTTGGTGGCGCTATTTAGTTGAACAGTCAGGTACTTCCATCCATCCACATTTCACTGAAAGCCCCAAACCTCATGGTGGCACAACGAAATTAAGATGATCACCAAAATCATTAGGATTCATCACAACAACAAAAAAAGACACACTGTATAAAATCTAACGCCAAGTTAAATCCTATTGTGGAGATATTCCAGTGGTGGAGCGACAGACCGACATTGCCATCCGTAGAGCTGCTTGCATGGCAACACTGTAGAGCCTAAATTGAGAAGTTAACTATAAAAGCAACTTTAACAGCATTATAGCAGAAAGATAGAACAAGGAGAGAACTTACATAATGTTTGGAGGGGTTCCTTCTCTTCTGCACGTCCACAACGTTAACGTCAAGAACCGTGCGGAGCTGCATCCTGACAATCCACAAGAGGATCTGCACCAAGAAATACTCTGAATCCTACAAAAGGAGATGCTCACCCATGAAAACAGTATAGAGTATCAAAAACCATGAGTGGGCTGCCTGGTGAGGGAGACCAGTGAGTGAGATGAGCAAAAGTTGGTAGTAAGGGTGGGAGAGGGGGGGGGAGTCTCTCTGCACTCAGGCTTTGGGTGCATCCATGAAATGATGGTGTCAGGCGGTGTCGGAGCTTCTGAACTCCTTCTGAAACATGACAACGCAGTAAAACTGGCGATTGACCAGTGATCTCCTCCCTCAAGAGGGGCTGGACTGCACAGTACGCTCAGGAGGGGCCGTGGAAATCAATGTACGGGGCGGTCCGGTTTCAGCTGGCTGGACACAATGCATCTCTGAAGAAGTGAAGTCAGACTGTTTGGGACCTGTTTCTTGTTTGTGTAACATTGTACCAAACTCCTGTTCTGATAAACCATTGAGAGTTTGGAGAAAAGTTTTTAACATGCACGATGAAAAGCGTGTTTTTATTTGCAAAATAAAATAAAACTGGATGGAAAAGAGAATAGTATTGCTGGTTTATACTTTCCACAAAGCTCACATTTGTTCTAGTCGACAATTGCAATCCCATATGACTGTTACCGTTCACTTTGTCGTTCATTTCAAAGTTAGGTTAGGATTTCCGACAGCACTTAAACTCAGCATATGGCAAATGACTTTGCTCCCTCCTAGTGGAGGAGGCGAAGAGGAGAGGAACACTTAGTTCATCTTCCCACACGGGGGCGCTGCACAACTTGATCTCATTGATGTGAACGAGTGGTGAGTTTGTTTTATAGTAGTTATTTGACCTCTGCGTTGATGGGGTACAACGTCCATTTATTTAATGCCAATTTAGACTCCTATTCCACTACAATACAAAAATAAATATTTTACTTCTTCACTTCATTAAATTTAACTGACATCCATAGTTTCTAAATTTTCAGATTCTGTGATCAGCCTATAAAATGAGATTATTTTGTACAAAAACGGTTTATAAAGTATGTATAGATCATTGACAAATATAAGCTGTATATATATATATATATATATATATATATATATATATGACGTATACATTTATAGACCGTCATATCCACAGACTTCATGTTTATAAAGTGGCCTATTACATTAATCATTCAATAATTATTTCAATTATGATTTACAAAAACAGTCTGACTTGTAATAGACATTGTATGCTGTTGTTCATTGTTGTTTTTTCATATATTCTCCTACTTGTATGCACATAATAGTTCAATGTTTATGTGTTCCTTTTTTGATTTTATTAAATGTCTTTTTCTGTTACTGAGAGCAACTTAGCCAATGAAGCTGATTCTGATAAGAATAAACAACTAAAAACTCTCAAATATGTCTTACATGTAAAGACAGAGAATCTGTAAAATAATCTAACAGTATTAAGATATAACACACTAAGAGCGAGCGTTCTACATAATGATCACATTTATTTGTGCTAGTTTACATTACATTACATTTTGCAGATGACACTTCATTACTTTAAAAATGTACAAAACTTAATTATAATGGAGTATTTTTTTATTGTACAGTATTTCTACTTTTACTTAAAGATCTGAATACAGTTGTGAACTTACAACTTGACAAATTATTTACTACTAGTTAAAGATGAAATCCACCAAAACTAAAAGTCAGTGAGCCTGTTGAATTTCACAATAATTCACAATCCAATAGTGTAATACAATATTCATAATAATGTAATATGATATTGATATAATGAGCAACAAGAATCCCTATAGTACCTTGAGGTAGGTTACCTTGCTCTGACAGTGTTTTGATGTGGTGACTTACAGACCTACTTTTGCTGACAATTATGAAAACAAAAGGCCAACTAACGGACCCATCTTATGACTACTGAATTACCTGAACTGATCACTTAGTCTCACCATCTGACTCCTTATAACACAATGTGGGCCTGAAATGGTGCTAAAAGGTTAACAACAACTTCTACCATTCCCCCCCCTGCTCATGACGACTAGTAGCATGCGTGGTGCGGTCGAGGGGCTGAGCCCTGAGCACGTCCTGCCGAGGAGACTCAGGAAACAGATACAGCTAACCAACCGCGTCAAGCACACCACTAATAGAGCAACTGGCAGCGGAAGTTATCCACATCCAGTCTCCGAAGTAAACGCATTCAGTTGTTAACAGCAACACAAAACCCTACCTAGCAAAAACACACACTCGCTATTTGGGCCATAAAGAGCTAATGATGCTAACTTCCGTGGAGGGGGAGCGTAAAACAGACGTAGCGTTAACGTTAAGGTTACGCAGTTACGCAGTTACTAAGTTACTAACGTTACTAAGTTACTACTGCTACTAACGGTTACTCCTCAGACATCAAAGCTAGCGGGATTTCTCCATTAACACTCTCACAAAATAACACAAAAGACGTCTACTGTCACACTGTTTGCCGCATTTGGTATATTATTAATTTTCTCTTTTGCCAAGTTTAGTGACTAAAAACTGTCTTGCGCGACTGTCGGTTAGTAACGGTTTTATTTTGAAGGTTTTTATAACGGAAGTCCGCATGAACGCGTCAGCTAGCTTGACGCTAGTCCGCTAACTTGTGTGGTCAGCCAACCGAAGCATGGGGTCCTTTGACTCTTCGTGTTTCACCCGCTAACGCTAGCTAAATGATGAAAAATGCAGTATCGAGTGTGATGACATGATCGATATTTTGCTGTTTGATTTTTTCAAAAACGGCACTACCAGCCTGTGCGTAAACGGCGAACTCTTCTCTGTATCCCTCCCGTCCCCGAAACAGCGTCCTGTGAACACTGCTAGCTGTGATGTGATTATGAATAACTGCCGTCGAGGGAAGTTATAATTGCCATTATCATAGCTGAATGGCTACAAAAGCGCCTCGTCTGTCTTCATTTGACGGCCGCATGCTGTTATTTTCGCTAGCCATTTGAGCTCCGCGTCGGGGGGAACCGCTATATATTTTTCTTGGCGGAAATAACTGAAGACAGACCCCATCCAACGGCACTGTACTTCACGACCGGAAAATAAGATGTCTTTCTTCAATTTTCGGAAGATATTCAAGTTGGGGCCTGATAAGAAGAAGAAGCAGTATGAACATGTACACAGAGACGTTAACCCGGAGGAGATCTGGGACATCATTGGGGAACTGGGAGATGGGGCGTTCGGGAAAGTGTTTAAGGTAATGTATTACATCCGCCTTGTGGTTCTCTAACCTATTTTTTTAAGAGTCACTCGCTTCCATTGTGTTTCATGTTGGTCATATAATGTTAAAATAACAGCAGTGATAGCACAGTCCTCGCTCAGGCTAACCTTTTCTAGGCCACTAAACCCTGAGTAATGTGAATTTTTTCGCTTCAACTCCATGCTATGACAGTTCATACTGTACTTTTGCTGTCACCTGCATGCGAACATCTTCCTGTTGAGGATATGTAAAGAAACGTAAACTTAGGACTGTGTTTGGTGACAGCTTGAACTCTCCCCTCGTTGAGTGTGTCAGGGGCATTTCCCCATTTTGGAGATTTAAGGAAGGCCCTGTTAACACTGTCAGGTTAACAAAATGACTTTGTCCTGTCATTGAGTTTGCCTCAGTCAAACTGTTGAAGGTGTGGTTCACTTCCACAGCATAAACTGGGTTGTCTAAGAGAGATCAGACGAGACACAAGATAAACAGTAAAAACATCCTGAGAGCAGGTGCCCTTAAAAGTCAAATGTGTCCCTCTGAGCCTTGTAGAAGTAGTGAAAAGGGGCAAGGGCAAGTAGTTTGTTAATCCCACACAGTGGCAGGTGTGTGTGTAAATGTAGTGTGCTGGTTAACAGTTTGCCACCTTAAGTTGATGCTATATTTGTTTTGCCAACACCCACTGTACATTATAAATGAGGTGGACACAATTCCTGCAACACCAGTACTGTATAATGCAAATTTAATGAATTACCCTCAAAACAATGCTTCTGGAGCTCTTAATGTTCACCTTTTATAGCGTCACAGTGCCAAAGAGGGGTTGTTTCCTCCTGCATTTATCTCTTAACGCTGTAGTTTGCTGTTGGATTACATTACATTGTGAGGTATTTGTGGTTTTGTATCCACTAGCTGTAATCGCTGCTACCTGACGTACCTCTCCAGGTTATCTTTGTATAAATTTGTATTGGGCTGAGGCACACCCTTTGGAAAGGTCAGCAACATGAGAAAAACTCAGCTCAGCTGCCCATATAACTAAAACCTTTGACCATACACATAATTTTAATACAACAACTTTCAAGAAAGAATAAGGAATTAAGGTGCATACTACCAATCAAACACAGACAATTATTAGACAAGAAATGTAGGCCGTCTAGTAGTTTAGTTTCACATGAAGGTCAGTCTGGGACTTTTATTGCAGTAACCCCAGATGAACAGATTTCTCTCTCTGTGACTGTCCCTTCCTGGAAATCTTGTGATTAAATAATGTAGCTAATGGCCCTGAAATCTTCATTTGCCAGTTTCCAAGTCTTATTAGCTGATTAACTAACTGTGATGAAAGCCAGAAGACTTTCGGGCCTCCTCAGACTAAAACTGCAAACCCGTGTGCACTTATGTTGGATGCACATTTAGCAGATAGAAGGGTGGGGAGGAATTGCCTTCACGGGGTCACATTACTGTCAACACAGACTCTACGTATTTCATCAGTTATTTCACAGGCTTTTGATGGCTGCTTCAATTGGGTGGGGTGACAAAGATTGCCAGTAAAGTGTGAATCAGCTGTTTAAGAGAGTGAAAGAGAGAAGAGTCTTAAATACACAACAACACATCAACATAGCTTGTATTGAAGAGGCGTGTCATTTTTTTGGACATCAAACAAACAGCTTACATAATTGTGTTCACACAGCCCGTCGGTTCATATATTTAGATTGGCATACACATCTTTAAATTATGCTCTGCCGAGTAGAGTGCCTATTCAATACAGCTGAAGTGGTGTGAGATTTATCCTTAATATGATCTATTCAAATTCAGATGAAAGTGACAGTGAAATGATTTGCTAGTCTTATTATATTAAAAGATCATATCAAAATCTGCAAAAAGGATTGTTTGACTTGTTAACATGACACCCACAAAACTGTCTCATTTATTCCCTCAAACCAGACCAGTATATAGAGTTCAGTGTAAAATGTCATGTACATAATGACTGAAGGCCACATTTGAATAGCTCAATGACAGACCAATTATCTCTGCGCTCTCCATCATGAAGCTAATATTGAAACTGCATATGTATTAGTGTTGGCCTGTGCTAGACAGGCATCGACCAGGCCAAAGACACAGGGAGTGTGTCAGGTCATAACTGTGTAAATATAGGGTGTGACACACTCGGCAACAGTTGGTCCTAACACTCCCTCCCTTTTCTTTTTCCTTAACTCCCTCAGATTGTGTCTGTAACCATAAACATTAAGTCCAAAGCTGGCCTTAAAATAACTTCTCAGCTACTTGTTTGACAGAGTGTGTGGGAATTAGACTCTTCAGTACAGCCTAATCGGGAATGAAGATTTTGGAGGCATGTGTTGCCGATTTAGATGATTAAAATCTGTTTCCCTAATCAGAAATCCATTAAATCCTAGATGTTTTTGGTATAAGCTCTAAGTTATTACCACTGTAACTTTGTATGTGACATTACAGTAGGTGAATGAAAGAAAGAATAGAGGGGGGGGAGGAAGCGGAGGTAGTGAGAAAGCTTGACAAGATCAGCTACTGTTAGAGGTCAGAAAATGATGGGGCGTATTGTAAATATTTAGACTTCAGATGTGTGCTGTGTTTTTTTTGGTTTTTTTTTCCTACAGTAATTTTCCCTTTCAATATATAATAAGGTGTTATTGTAAAGTCTCTGGGAAATGTATTTATAGAGATTGCTTTGACCTAAACCAGCCATGAAGTGTTCCAGTATTTATTGCTCTAGATTTAAAATGGCTTTTGTATTAAATGAAATTTTTTGACGATGATGGATGTTATTCCACAATAGCCACTTCACTGCACTGCCTTTAGCCAAGTAAACCGAGCCAGCAGGGTCAGAAATGTATTGAACAGTGTATTCAATTGATACACGCGTTCTCTTTGTTCTTTCTCTTTTTTTCTTTCCTAATTTATATGTTGCGTATTATGAGATTATAATCACTTTCCTATTTTTGACATCAATGTTGCTTTCAGGCTCAGAACAAGCAGAATGGGACCCTGGCTGCAGCCAAGGTTATTGACACAAAGACAGAGGATGAATTGGAGGATTACATGGTAGAGATTGACATTCTGGCCTCCTGCAACCACCATCATATCGTCAAACTGCTGGATGCTTTCTATTTTGAAGGCAAACTTTGGGTAAGTGAGCAAGTGTTTGGCGGAGAGAAGAGTTATTTTTTTTTCTTTTTTCTTTTTTTCCCCCTCATGTGTTTTTTTGATTTGAAGCCAAAGAGACACAGAGGCAGTGAACTAGTCACGCATGGAGACACACAAATTCATCACAAGCCAGTATTCGTTATGCTGTTTCTCAAAGGACTCTTGTATCATTCGATTAAAGGATAATAGCAGTGAATTTTTCCACGTCGCCAACATTTTAAGAGTTTAAAACCAATCATGTGACACAGTCGGAGGCTAGTACGAGGCTTGGACCGCATGTTCTACTGCAGGATTGCCTCACCTCCCAGAAGTCACAGGTCATAATACAAAAAAACTACTATAGATTTTACGTCATTTCATTTAAAAAGATGGATCATGTTTCTGCAATGTAGGTTAAGGAATGCTCTGATAACAATTGGAGCTTGTGACTTCCAGCTGAATACTCCCCAGTTTGACCTTATTCGCACCCTCCCACAAATCTTAAGCAGTGAACATGGTTTCTTTATAGTGGCAAAAAAAGTATCTTTAAAAGAGTCCTTCATCCTTATCAAGCTATTCCACTGTGAGCAGAGAGTTGAGTCACAGTGCAGTTTTAATACATAGTCAGTAGATCTCATTCTGTGTGCTGTAAGAGGCCCCAGAACAATTAAGTCCTGGCAGGTGGTTTCATGTGACCGTCCCTTGTGGACTGGCCGCATCTATGGGATAATAATGGAGTGGTTTTGGTGGCTGGAGAAAGTGCCTGTGAATAATTCAGAGCTGCATACAGGTTGTCCCTCTGGTCCTCGTCTTAAAGCAGCATGATAAATGTGTAACTGCCTCTGCTTTGCATGTGTTTGGTTGAGTTAATATATAATGTGTTTCTTTTTTTTCTACAGAACATTAATCAAGAACATACGTTGCTGTAAATGAGAATGTATTCGCATGCTTGATGTTCAATTTAACCTGATATTATGATCAGCAGATTTAAATTTGCACGTACTTGTTACACCTGTCAAAATCACAACGGCGTAAATTACAAGCGAGATTCCCACGGCAGGATAGATTGTTATGCAGAACAGGAACAACCGCTTGGTTTGTCCTCTTTGTTTCACTTTCTGAATAGAGGGTGGTGCTCGGTTGTAGCTTTGATTGATTTTTGTCTATCATCTGATACCGTCAGCTGCCAACAACTGGCAGTGCCATTATAGATGAAGTGGTGGTCGGGTACATTACATCAGCTATTACAATTGAGGTCAGGAGCTGGTCAGTTTTACATCTCAGTAACAGTAGAAGGGAATGGTCTTATGTTCAGATAACTGAAATGTGCTCTGTGAACTGGTGAATCCATAGTTATGGCTCCTATTGCCAGATAGCAGGTCATTTGGTTTAAGTGTGTCTGAAGATTTGTACAAAGCACCACTGCTGAGCATTTCAACATAATGCTTGAGTCTAAACATTTATCATACCTTTAAGTTGTATAGTGTTAAGACTTTCACACTGGGACTAACAAGTTAAAGTAAATTTACATTGTTAAGGTTTTTACTCCCTGGCTTATTCCATCCATACATTTCCTTTCACAGCTTCCCAAATATAAATAGTATGGTTTAGATACGTATAATATTTGTCTGTGGCAGGACTTAAACTGTAGGAATGAAATTGACTGTACTGCATATCTATCTATCTCCTTAATATACTGAAGTGCATTGACAGTATGGTGCTACCCAAATGAGGAAATCATTTTTCATCAGAACATATGATGAAATATCCTGTATGAGTCATACATAGACATACACATACGAAGAAGATTTTATTTTGTAGAGAATTAAAGATGACCAACCATCATGACCTGCTCTGCACACTTTTTGCATAAACATCCTGCTGAACAGGTGCATCATAAAGAAACTATAAGGAGATGATCCCAGTCACTGTCGCCAGCCTGCAACTAGAATCTCTACTCATGTTTTTAGCCGAGAAAGACTGACACATAAAGATTGTCCTGAAATGGAAAAGAACACATGTGTCTATAGAGGAAGCTCACTGGGCCTCTTTTGTGACTGATCGATTGGCTTCTTGGAATGTTTCCACAGCTTAATCAATAACATTGAATAGGGGTCTGATGTCTTTCCTATAAAGGTCATATTGTTCATCTGTCTTGCATAACACAAGTTCCTCCCTCAAGCAAATTATGTGCTGTAAAAGGGAGTTGATTGACTGACTTCATTGCATTATAGTACACATTAATTTTGTTCCACTTTGTTTTGTTTTACTGTTGCAGATTCTGATTGAGTTCTGTGCGGGTGGTGCAGTGGATGCCATCATGCTGGGTAAGTCCCTCATTCATTGAAGGAAACCACAAATTATTATAAAGCACTGGAGCTTTTTTCTTTGCTCCAATCCTTGAGTGCCAACTCTTTTTATTCCATCCAGAAGCCTCTGGGATTTTTTTCCCTCTCCCCAGTTGAAGCAGCCATTCTAACTGTATAATTATTGTAGCTCAGATTTCAGGGAGTGGTTAGTCCACTTCTAATGCGTTCAGTTTCTCTTTCTTCAACCTTGAAGACCTTCCCACATTTTCTTATGTGTGAATTACCATTACAAAGAGGATACCAATTCATTCATTTGGTGGATGTAGATACATTCTGCTCTGTGGTCTGACTCACCTAGAAAAACATTTTTCTTCCCCCAGATTTGTCCAGTCATACATGTTGGCTGCTGTCAGGGTGGAGTTTTGTCCTCCAGTTGCTATTGGATACCACCAGACCATCACATTTTATGTTAATATATCCAAATGGCTCAGTCTGTGTTCTAAAAATCTAAATCTAATCCCACTAACAACATATTTTAATTATGTGTGCGCATGTTTATCGACAGAACTGGAGCGGCCCCTGACAGAGCCACAGATCCGTGTGGTGTGTAGGCAAACCTTGGAGGCCCTGTGTTACCTCCATGAAAACAAGGTCATCCACAGAGACTTGAAAGCCGGAAACATTCTCCTCTCCTTGGATGGAGAAGTGAAACTGGGTGAATACTTTTTGCTGTTGCAATATTTTACTAAATGTGAAGGATTATTCAGCAAGCAAAGATCACTCATGTTCCAGCTAAGCACACGTTAGGGTACTCACTTTAGAGTACTACACAGAACAATAGCGAATTCATGATTTCTCTCTCAGATATATGTCCTTGGTGGCCGTTCTGAACCCTCCTGTAGGGCCAACACTAATAGGCTTAAAAAGCTAATTAGTAAAGTCAATTGTGGATCCCTTTGCCATCAGTGTTGTGGCAACCAGCTGAGCAATGTGACCTTGGGGATAGTGGTGACAAGTGCGCAACACAGTGTTTACGTATGATAAAACTGGAATGAGTCAAAAAAAGAAAAAAAATTGTTTTCTGTAGCCCTAAAGGCGAGAATGTTTTTTATACACCACTTATGCACTGGAGTTGGTGATACGTTGAACTTGTTACATAATATTCCAGAAGTAAATGTTGTGCTGCTGTAGCATCCATAGCTGCTGGCTCCCTGATGATTCATGTTCTGTAGGCAGAGGGTCAGGACGCAGCCTGGCAAACAATAATTATCAAGCAGTCACCAGGGACTTAATGATAGATCTCTCTTTCCCTCCAGTGTGTACATTACAAGAGAGCGAGCTGAAATAGTTGCACAGGTGACAGAATTGCTCGGAGTGATGATGGACCTTTACAAGCATTATGAAAGGGAGATTGAGGCTTTTCTGTCTACTTATAGGGGTCATATTTAAAAGCTTGAAGCAGGTTAGTTAAGAAAAAAATGTGATATTATGTTGTTTTATATCTTTGAAGGATTCACAGTACAGAAAATGTCACTATTTAGTTTGATGCACTGATGAAAAGGGTCCTAATTATTTTCTACTTTCAGCGGATTTTGGGGTGTCTGCTAAAAATACCAAGACGTTACAGAGAAGAGATTCTTTCATCGGCACTCCGTATTGGTGAGTCATACAGCCTGCATAAAAGAGGGCTTTCACCCTTTTCCATCAGATAATTGTCTTAGCGTGTCTCACAGCTAGGGGTGATTATTTGTCTATGCGGTGGCACAAAAGCTGTCATGAATGTGTGATAATAGAAAAGGCCTCATTCAGCAATTTGAATGCACTCAAGTGTTGGATGACCTCAGCTTTAAATAGGCTTCCTATCTTTCAAATTCCAGACCGAATTGCACACGCATACTATTTCATTTCTTTTTTTTCTTGTTTTGACCTCTATGGATCACAAAGATATCAAGCAACATGCCTGAATGCATACATTAACTTGCAGTCTGAAATTAGCTTAATGCAAACCCACTTCTAATTTTGCAGGATGGCCCCAGAGGTGGTAATGTGCGAAACTTCCAAGGACCGTCCGTACGACTACAAGGCCGACATCTGGTCCCTCGGGGTAACCCTGATAGAGCTGGCGCAGATTGAGCCACCTAACCACGAGATGAATCCCATGAGAGTGCTGCTGAAAATAGCCAAGTCCGAGCCGCCCACACTCATGCATCCCTCTCGCTGGTGAGATTGTGTGCTGGTGATAACTAGAGAGGTGGCACTGGAATGCTTCCGGATTGGATATGTTGACTGTTTAATGTGTGAAAGCTTGGTGAATTGTTAATAGTCAACTGAATGGCCACGGGGGGAAGGGTGGTATTCATTTTATTCCCTCAAAGCAGGACCTAGGGACACTTACTCTGGTCTATGGTCAGCAAACTGATTCCTTTTTTGTTTATTCCTGTAAGGTCGCCAGAATTCAACGACTTTCTGCGGAAGGCACTTGATAAGAATGTGGACAATAGGTGGAGTCCACTACAGCTGCTACAGGTGAGCAGCCCTACTGTTATCTCAATACATAACCATGTATGCAGCTTACAAATTAACCCAAAGAATGCATACACACTTAACACATGAAGACCGGAGGCACATGTTGCTACTGGCCTCAATGAAAAGAATCTGTCATATTTTTTTTGTTTGTTCTTGGATTTGATTAAGCCTGACAGTTGGTGAAGGATAAATATTTTTATTTCATGTTGATGTCTTGTGTCCCTGTCCATCTATGTAGCATCCTTTTGTCACCAGTGTAACTGATAGCAGACCTCTCAGAGAGCTCATCGCAGAGGCCAAAGCTGAAGTCACAGAGGAGATTGAGGATAGCAAAGAGGAGGAGGAGGAGGAAGAGCCTGATACACCTGTGGTATGTAGTTTTATTGGTATACATAACAAGTATCATATTTTTTCCATCCTTCTATCCTCTTCTATCACTCACTGATGTGTGATGATGTTGTGATTTTTCTAACTGTTGTCTCAGGCGGCTCCTGGCCACAAGCGTGCCCCTTCAGATGCCAGCGTGGCCAGCTCAGAAGATGACAAAGTCCCACCAACTCCCTCCACACTGGAATCTGTTACAGAAAAGACAGAGGCCGAGCCTGCTGAGGACCGGACTAGTGATAAGCTCTCTGATGAAGGACTTGGAACAAGTGAGGTAGACAAGACGGAGGAGGAAAAACTCAATGAGGTGTCTGATGTCAGTAATGAAGACCTGGCACCTGGGCTAATAGAGCCCACCAAGGACTTGATCTCACAAGATCCAGAGCCTAAACCAGAAGATGGTCAGGCTTTGGCAATTCCTGCTGAGCCTGTAGTATCACAGCCGGAAGAGCCTGTAGTATCACAGCCGGAAGAGCCTGTAGTATCACAGCCGGAAGAGCCTGTAGTATCACAGCCGAAAGAGCCTGTAGATACAGCGGATACCCAAGAACTTGTCACAGATGGTCAAGAAACAGAGGAGGAAAGGAAGGAGATGCAAGAAGAGAAAAAGGAGGATGAACCTACCCAAGTAATAGAAGAAGCAATAGAGGCAGAGGAGGTGAAAGAAGAAGAAGAAAAACAAGTAAGTACAGAAGAATCCAAAGAGTCACAAGAACAACCTGAAGATGCACCAGAAGAACCAGAATCCATACGAGGAGAAGTGGCACAAGTAGAAGAAGTAAACAAAGAACCAGATGAGGAGATGCCTCAGCGTGTTACAGAGGAGAGAATAGAAGACACAGCTAATGGCACAGTTGTAAACATAGACACAGAGAATATAGAATCAAATGTAATTGGCACAAATATAAATGGAGTCACAGACGCAAAGTCAACTGTAGACGAGTCCCTCGCTGAGGTTTTGTTGGAGAAGGAAGCCATAGAAAGTCAGCCAGAGGAGAAGCCTGAGGATAAAGTCCCTGAGGAGGCAGAGCAGCCAGCGCAGCCAGAGCAGGACAGTTATCCCCGCGAGGATGAAGTGGAGATACAGGCACCAACTGAATCCACAAATGGAGTCAGTGATGAAGCCAAAGACACCTCTGAGGATTTAGAAGAAGTGATCCCATGTAAAGATGTCCCTGTGAAGGAAGATGAGGATAAATCCACTTGTGCAGATGAGAGCATTTCCCAAGATGCTGTCTCTGTCCCAGAGAGTGAAACAGACTCAGAAAGCAAGATCGAACATGGAAGCCCTGCTGTGATCAAGCCAGATGTGGAGAAGGACTCGGACTCTGGAAGCAGCTCTGCTGCTGATAGCAATAGCCTTGACCTCAATCTGTCCATCTCCAGCTTCCTGTCCAAGAGCAAAGAAGGGGGCTCTGTGTCTATGCAGGTAATATAATAATAATAATGTGTTTCTCTTTCACAACCTCAGTTAAATTATCAACACTATTTTGGTCATTTAAGCCACCAAAACATCCCTGTTTCATTTGTAGGAGTCAAAACGTCAAAAGAAGACTCTGAAGAAGACGCGTAAGTTCATGGTGGACGGTGTGGAGGTCAGTGTGACAACGTCAAAGATAGTGACAGATAACGACACAAAGAGCGAGGAGATGAGGTTCCTGAGGTACGTCTGTATTCAGTCTGCTTACCATACTGTGGGTCTAAATATGTAACATGGCCTATTTAACATGCCTGCCTTAAATAGTTCTCGTTCACTTCACAACTCCCACAGCTTTTTACAAATGCCAGATGGGTTATCTCCCGTGATGAATGCTGCATTATGTTACTGTCATCTCACATGTTGCCTTTTAAAGACATGCGACATGCTGCTCCAAATGTTTATACAAGTGCTGTCTGACAGCAGGGTTCTTTATGTCAGTAATGCACAGAGTGAACATGTATCAAATTATGAACTACTGATTCAGAAAGCAGGAAAATAATAGTATCCTATTAAATATTAAAGGGAGATTAATACTGTAATCAATTTGAAAGTGAACATAAACAACAAACCATAAAATTCCATCTCAGAAATAAAACAAATAGCTTGTTGTTTTTTGTGAATTAAATCTTATATCATCAATGACAAACAATTGAATATGAAGTAATTGAATGTGGTGGCACCCTGACTGCACTGCTGTGTGTGTGGTTTCCTCAGGCGGCAGGAATTGAGAGAGCTGCGCCTCCTCCAGAAAGAGGAGCAAAGGGCCCAGCAGCAGCTGAGCAACAAGCTGCAGCAGCAGAGAGAGCAGATCTACCGGCGCTTTGAACAGGAAACTACTGTGAGTCAGTGTGTTCGTATCGCAGTGGTGTGGTGTTTTTCTCATTTGGCCAACTCCCAGGAAACAAGCTGCTTCAAAGTTGATCTAAATCTGACAGAGGGACTCACATGAAGCATGTAATCTCTATCACTTACCATGTACTCATTCATTATTTCTAATGTAATGTGCCGATTCTCTTATAGTCAAGAAATTACACCATATTAATATATTTTACAGTTAATCTCCCCCTCCCTCCTAAGCAATAAAGGCTTAAAACTATATAATCTTATAATATTTAATAACTTATAAACATGTATAGCCATGTTGTCATGCTGATGCCACTATCTGTGGATTCTTTCTGTGCAGGCTAAGAAGCGTCAATATGACCAAGAAGTGGAGAATCTTGAGAAGAAGCAGAAGCAGACCATTGAGCGCCTGGAACAGGATCACACCAGCCGGCTCCGAGACGAAGCCAAACGCATCAAAGGGGATCAAGACAAGGAGCTCTCCAAGTTCCAAAACATGCTGAAGAACCGGAAGAAAGAGGTATGGCCATGCATGACTGTTTCTGCATGGAAGTGCCTTTAGTGGGCCGATTAGCTCTTAACTGGGGTAGCTTGGGGGTAGTAAGCATTTGCATGTCATAAACATACGAGCTGTTTAATGGTGCATGTGTTTAGCAACTTAGCCGGTGGCATACTTGGCTGTGTCATATTAATCCTATGGGAGTGGTGTGCCTTGCTGTTCTGCTTGGGTACTGTATGTGTGCAAATGATAGCAACAGACAGACTGTTCTATCGTTCCTAGATGCTGCTAGCTCCATGTTGTTGTATTCATTATTTATCAGCCCTGAGGCTTCTGATTGCCTCCTAAGCAATGTGCTACTGAGTCTATTTGTTATTTTTAGAGAACTATTAATAAAAGTTCGGTTTCGGGCTAAGCATAAAACCTTATCATGAAGGTGTGTTGTTACAAAAACATGCTGGATATTCATTACTAATCCTCTGCTTGGCAGCCGTAAATGCTTTGTTGGATGTTTTGGGTATGCTTGCAGTTTTTATGTTTTTCGCTTTATGCAGCTCTTTTATGGCAATATTGCCGATTGGCATTCATTGTGCAATATGATGCCTTGGTGGTTGTTGTACTGCTCGCAATTTGCTTTCTGGGCCACTTGAAGGATTTTTATTGTGCAGGTGAGCTTAAAAGTGGTTGCTTCAGCCCTCAGTTATGTACTTTGTTGTGGTTGTTCAGCTGCAAAAATATAAGCTATTACTTATTGATAAAATGTGTATTTTTTGTGTTGTATTTCTTATTCAAAATGTACTGTGATTGTGTATTTAACTAACCATGTCTCTTGTATGAGTGTGTGAGGTGGCTTTGGTCGTGGGATGGGCGACTTTTGAAGATTTTTTTTATGAGTGGTGTTGGGCTCATGTAGGGAATTAATGAAAGAGTCAGGGAAACTGATATGGAATCATCTTCAACATTAATATTTAAGGAATCAAGGAATTTATTGTCATGTGTATTAAAAAGGCCAGCTCTGCCTCATACAATGAAAAAACATTTTTGTAGACATACTTAATCTCTTAAGGCATCTGAGAAAAAAATAGCTTGTTGTGCCTTTAGACTGTGACGGCAAACCTTTGGCCCATCTGTGTTTACAATAATAGTGGAGGTTATTTCCCACTCTCACTGTTTGTGGCCTCTCTTTTAAAGCTAATCTACCCACACACAGACTGCACATACCTAGCTGGTTTAGTTTAGCCACTAGTTTCACAGTAGCACAATGGTGTTAAATGCTGAGCTGTAGTCTATGAACAGCAGTCTGCATCGTCCACACATCTGAAGTGGGTGAAAGAGCACCCGGTAAGGTATTACATGTGAAAGTTTTTCAAAGCATTTCATTTTCACCAAAGAGCTTAAGACATGGTACAGAAGATTTCTTAGCTACAGGTGTGATCGGTGTTCTTAGAAAGCAACAAGAATTGTTTAATATTTGGTAATCTGCAGTTAGAAAATGAGAGACAAGATGATTCCAGCTCAGTTACTGTTTATTAATTTCTAGAGGCAAACTAATCATCTTGATGGCTGTGGGACTTAATTGAATGCAAAGAGATACAGAGGAAGCTGATTTTGAGACTAACATCTTCTGTCATGTTATATATATATTTCTTATAATATTTCTTTGACTTGACTCTAACTGGTGCAGTTCAAACTTCCATCTCTGACGTGCTCTGAAAAACGACCGACTGACTGTTTCAAAGGAACGTCAGAGTCAGGCCATGGGGATTAAGCATGTTGACTTCCAATCAGTTGGTGGCTGGATGCAGTATCTCTCCTCTCAAAGTGGGCCGTGCATGTCTTCTACTGTTGTTGGCCAGCTTTGTTAGATTTTCAGAATATACCATCAACCAGTTTGTGCACACACACTTTAGGCCAAACAGGAAGTTGGACAGTCACCCAAACATATGAGAAAAGAGCTCATGAAACGCATAAAGGAGGACCATTCGCTCCTCAAGACTGCAGAGGTAAACCATCACTTGCTGTCTCTTACTCTGTGAAAGAGTGAGATTGCTCTTTGTCTCTTTTTCTCTTTTTCCTTCTCCTTTTAAACCCCTTTCATTCATATTTACACAAACACAAAGAATTGCTGTGTCTGTAATCGCTCTCCATTTGCTATCTAGTGCACTGTAATGGCTTCTTAAATGTGAATATTTCACTTATCTTATTCTTTTCTGATAGTAAAGTGAATATCATTGGGTTTTTAACTGTTGGTCACACAAAAAAAGACATTGTGGTGGGCATTTAAACTAATTACTGACAGTTCATATATCAGAAAATAATCAGAAGAATAATCTCTTGTAATAAAAGTTGTTCGTTGCAGCCGTAACAAAGATACAACCATGGATTTGATCCTTTAAAAAAATGCCCACAATGGAGCATGTATACTACTGTTAACCAAACATCCCACAATGCAATTCTTCACATTTTTAATGCTGAGATTACTGATGTGAAAATGACACTTATGTCACGGTACACTTGTCACTGGTGATGCAGAATGATGACAATGATTCATAAGTGTCAGCTCTCATTTTACTACTCACCATAGAGTACCCTGGAGTGTTTACCGTGTAGTGAACAGTGAATTAATGAACGACGGAGCAATCGCAGACACAGCTATTGTTTCCACAGTAGACCTCTGTACTGAAAGCCCTTTCCAAACTTTTCTGTTTTCCTGTGCACCTTTTATGAATTAGACATGAGTCATGCGGACAAAGGCCTTCTTTTCTTTTAAAGGTAACTCTTTGATTATTAACACTCCATCAGCCAGTAAGCATGGAAAGTAACACAGCTCCTCTTTTGCAACTTGGATTAAACTCAAGTGCTGGAATTATGAGCCACTTTCAAGCATGGAAAGAGTATTAATAACTAATTAAGTGACTTTCGCTGTGCGCCTTAAACTCACCGATATTCCAAAAGGAGGAAAGGGCCATCTCTTACATAACTTAGGAAGTGTGTGTGTGTGTGTGTGTGTGTGTGTGTGAGTGTGAGTGTGAGAGAGAGAGAGGAATCCTCAGCTTGCTGTGTGGTGTATGTCCCTGATCAGGGCGAGTGCGCTGTTTGCTCTCCTCCACAGGCAGTGGCCCAGGTTATGATACAGTCTTTTCAGTTGTCCTCATGCGCACTCTTCAACGCTCAGATGCAGGATGTAAGTCCCCCACCCCCCTACCTGCTCTGTTTCTTTCCGTCTCTGGCCCATACTTAGATGTGAGCGAAGGTGTGTGAGGTGACAGGATAGTTTTAGTTTAAAAAACGACACATATAAGCATGGGCAGTGTTGTGGTTTTTTTGAGTGTTGTCATCACTGTGTTTGTGCAGTGGTTCTCTCTTCTTCTCCTGCTCAGTATTTTCCCTCACCAATCCACAAATGTTCTACATCTAGTCTGTGTATTTTATGTGGTATTTATATTGTATTACATCGTTCGCATCAGACTAGGTTGAGTCTGGGAGTAAACCTGTACAGCACTCTTTCCCAGAGGTGGTGGTGGTGTTGTTGTTGTTGATCCCCTTCTGTCTGGATCCATGTTTGTTTCTGTCAGCCAAGGTCCAAATATAGACTGACTGCCTTACAGAATGGATGTAAAAGTCACTTGTATTGTGCACAGTTAGGTTATGGTATCACATCTTAACCAGTTTAATTTGGATTCAGCAGTGGAATAACAATGCTAGCCAATTGTTCTATAGCCAAAGTGAATTCTGTGTAATCAAACATTCTTAATCGTAGTTAAGTAATGGCAGCACATAACCTACAATTTGCCGCCAGCGAGGTATTAGACGTCTAAAGAATAGGTTATTACATCTTTTTAAATTATGTGTAAAGTTAGCTTAGCTCATTCTGTAATGAGTCATGCATAATGTAGGCTCTGATCTGGACAATGTGAGCGTCAGTATCGATGTTGTCTTACATAAAACTGTGAATCTGAAACTTTACTGAACTGTTAACTTATCTTTCTTTCTCTCTTCACCTCCATTGTGGATCGTTGCCATCCATGATCTCTGAGTGTCTTCTCTTCTGATTCCAGTTGATGATGTGATTTCTTTAGTGCTCTGTGTCGTACTGAACTTGAAGTGGTTGACTTGACTAGATTATATAATTTTAGGCAGTTTTCATACTACGATGCATTCGTACCGTGACATTTTATTGTGCTGTCTCTCTCTGCTCTTGGCTGTCCCTCTGCATGACGGCTTCCTCTGGCTGTTTCTCACTGCTCTTCTTCTCTCTGGCTCCTCAGGAGCAGGAGTTCCTACAGAAGCAGCAGCAAGAGCTGGATGGAGCTCTAAAGAAAATCATTCAGCAGCATAAACTGGAGATCACCACTATTGAGAAAGACTGCCTCAACCACAAGCAGCAACTGATGAGAGGTAGGAAATGGAGGAAGAACTACTTGACAGATGAAATCAGCCCTTTTACTGCAAAGTCACATCTTAACATTACTGCTCACCACCTCCAAAGTAAACTGTCATATATGAATGTGCATTTCCTGTTAGAGGGAACTATTATTTATTTCAGTGTGATATAAAAACCATACAACAAGAGCATTTGATTTGAAGCTGTTTTGTTCTAATCGTGTTGGTGAAAAATGTGGTCACACTTCTGGTTCTGGTTTCCTGAACAACAGAGAGGCACCACACCAGCAGACACTTGGTATCAATCCCTGCTTAGATCACATTACTATTACATTTGATAAAACAGGCAACATGATGTGACTGATTACCTCTCAAGCATCAAGCATCCTGTGCAAGTTTCAAGTCTCTAAGCTCATTTTCATAACAGACTGACATAAAAACAACAACAACCTGAAAGGTTGTTATTTTTTTTTACATTTGACTCATTTTCAACTGGTAACTGTGTGTGTGTGTGTGTGTGTGTGTGTGTGTGTGTGTGTGTGTGTGTGTGTGTGTGTGTGTGTGTGTGTGTGTGTGTGTGTGTGTGTGTGTGTGTGTGTGTGTGTGTGTGTGTGTGTGTGTGTGTGTGTGTGTGTGTGTGTGTGTGTGTGTGTGTGTGTGTGTCTTCACTACTGAGTGTGACATGCAGACAGATGAGAATACAGACGTGCTGTTTGGGAAAACATGTTACAACCTGTCTGACTTGCTGACAGTATTGCGTTTTGTTTTCATCACACTACTCGTCGCCGGATAACATGCATGTACATGTTTTCTAACTCATACTTGTGTGACATTAAAACATGACATGTGTGTGTGTGTGTGTGTGTGTGTGTGTGTGTGTGTGTGTGTGTGTGTGTGTGTTTGTATGTGTGTGTGTGTGTGTGTGTGTGTGTGTGTGTGTGTGTGTGTGTGTGTGTGTGTGTGTGTGTGTGTGTTTTGTAGCTCGAGAGGCAGCCATGTGGGAGTTGGAGGAGCGCCACCTGCAGGAGAAGCACCAGCAGCTGAAGCAGCAGCTGAAAGACCAGTACTTCCTGCAGAGACACCAGCTGCTGAAGAGACATGAGAAAGTAAGACAAATCTACTCAGAGACAAAAGTTCTGTATTATTTAAATATGCCTGCTGAACACTTGCATGTGTGTATTTTGTAGGAAATGGAGCAGATGCACCGCTACAACCAGCGGTTGATAGAGGAGATGAAGAACAAACAGACTCAAGAGAGGGTTCGTCTGCCCAAGATTCAGCGCAGCGAGGCCAAGACCCGCATGGCCATGTTCAAGAAGAGCATCCGCATCACCGCCACAGCATCCGTCACCCCGGAGCAGGAGAGAGAGCGGATAAAACAGGTACAGACACTGTGGTTGTTTCACAATATCTGCTTGTCATGTTTATGGACTTGGACATGCATTGTCTATGTTAGTCAGGCATACAGTCACACCTAGAATCTGCCCCATACAAACACTGTACTCTCAATAATCCCTGCCTGTCTGGATCTCAAACCAGCAACATTCCTGTCTCCATTTCACAAGCTTCACTGGCTCCATCATTCTCAAAATGTTGTTTCAATTAAGTTTTGTTGTGGAGGAACTCTCAAACATCTTAAAAGATTCAGAACATAATAGTTAGTAAACAATAGGGTTGCCTGACACAAACAGATCTATGCAAAGCAGATACCTGTAGCACCGCCTGTAGCATGAGCACGCCACCGTTCTGCAAAAAAGACAAATCAAATAATACCAAAATGTGGTGCAGTTTACGTTACAGTGGTCTCTTGTTTTTTGGTCCAGTTTGCTTCTCAGGAAGAAAAGAGGCAGAAGAACGAGAGGCTCCATCAACACCAGAAACACGAGAACCAGATGAGAGATCTGCAGCTGCAGTGTGACTCAAACATCAGGGAGCTGCAGCAGCTACAGGTGGGGCCACAAGCACGCACATATTTCTTTATCTGTTTACATGTTTTAAACCACCACTTTTAGCATTGAGCTTGCTTGCTCATGTATGGTGACTTGAAATGGATGCAACAGGAGAACAAGCTTTAACAACCTAGATCATCAGTAGTGGACTGGGGCTATAGAAGGATCATCAGTAAAGTGTAACTGCACCCTTGAATTCGGATAGCTCCCTCCTTCACAGCAAATTTTAGAAATGCATCATAGACCTGCAAACAACAGTGAGTGAGCACAAGTCCGAACCACTGCATCAAAATACAAAAATAACAAGTAGACATTAGAAAAAAATTGCATAAACTCCTATGAATGATGCATCTCAATCAGTACGCATTATAATATGAGCACAGCGGTTTCACAGACTGCCACTCAAAGCGGAGGCTGGGGGAGGTGGGCCTCCCTCCTCTGATTAGAGGGCGGTAACACAGTAACTCTTTTTTTATATAAATGTCACAACATAAAATAGCCCCAAACGGTAAACTCTATGTCAGTATTGGCCGTACAAGGTTCAGAGTGACTTCAAACAAGGTTGCGTCGAGCCTTTTACAACCCACAAAGAGCTGTTTTTTATAACTTTGGTAAGAATGTCCATATTATCACTAGCGTTGATGTGATAGTTTAGTTTAGTTTAGTCTTAAACTACATTCCTGTGCAGATGAAGTAAGCAGAGTACAGGAGGTGTTATTCATTAATCCTGAAGGTGCTGTGTTAACCCACATTTTCTTACAGAATGAGAAATGCCACCTTCTGATTGAACATGAGACCCAGAAGCTGAAGGAGCTGGATGAGGAACACAGCCAAGAGATAAAGGAGTGGAGAGAGAAGCTGAGACCCAGGAAGAAGGTATATTTAATATCCATTTACTCTTTGACTTCAGAATTTATCTCTCTTATAAATTCTCTCTGCGGTCATGCTGAATGAATGTGAAGTAATCTTCAAAGCGGCTGACTAAGTTGTTTGGATCTGCTGCCCCCTGCAGGCGTTAGAGGAGGAGTTCACACGGAAGCTCCAGGAGCAGGAGGTCTTCTTCAAGATGAGCGGCGAATCCGAATGCCTTAACCCCACCACCCAGAGTCGAGTATCCAAGTTCTACCCCATCCCGAACCTGCACAACTCCGGTTTATAGCCTCGTGTCTGTCTGTGCTACGAAACAGACTCCTGTCAAACTTAGCTGCGCTCAAAGACTCTTCTTGGTGGAGCGACATCATCCCTCCTTCAGTTACTGATAAACACGACAATGTCTTCACTGCTTTGATTCCATCATTAGTGAGCATGACGTGCCTACACACTGTTCCCTCACTCAATCAAATTTTCTCCGCTTGTTGGGAAACGTCCAGTGGATAATATGCACTTTTTGAGCATGTTCAAATTTTAAAAGTCTGCAGTTGGTAGCTAAGGCCAATCATGCTTATCACATTATTGTAAGCACAGCCTGCTATGGTATGAATGATCTCCAGTGCCTCATATGTTCCTTTTTGCCTGCATTTAGGCCCCAGCTTGCAGTAAATACAAAGCCCTCTGAATGTCCTGCACTTAAATAAATAACTGGTTATCTTTTTTTTTTTTCACCCATAATCACAAAATGTTGAGAGATTATTTTAATCAGTTTCACATTAGCTGATGAGGAACATTGAAATCTTATTTTGCTGCTTGTAAGGTAGAGCTGGTTTAATGGAGACGTGCTGAGGAGTCAGCGGACTCAAAAGAATAAGTCTGTAGTTGTAAGACTTTGTTATGTCTGTGTGGTCTTACGTGCGCAGTGTCTAATGTCGTCACAGGAGTCAAAAACAGCGCCGTGTCGGGCTGCGAGTTCAAATTAAAAGGAATGTACTGTGTTGTAAATGATGAGTGAAATGTTACCTGTGTGCACCTACATATGAAGTTTAATCAGATACTGTGCTTACCATGAGGAGTTTACACTCTCCAGATCAAAAATATATCCGTTGCTTTAGCACATAATTTCATTTCAGTGCTGTACATTCCCCATTTTAGTTGAACACAGAGGTGACCTGTTACTTCCTGGAGAATGATGAAGTCCTTTTTTTTATGTCTAGATAATGAATCACTTTAACTTCTGGGAGTTAGTTTGAGCAGTGGTCTCACAAACAAATGCTTTGTTGTGATGTATGAATACTAAAGGAATGTAAAGCTGTGGATTTGCACTGTTTTCCCACTTGAGCTAAAGAAAAAAATATGCAGTAGTAAACTGTCAGTGTTTTTGACAGTGAGTCACCTTTGTCTCACCCACGCCTATTCAAACTCCAAACTGACTGAATCTGTTTGTTTTATCTCATTATTTTACCTTTTTTTTTTTTTTCTTCAAATATGCCCTTAGTATTTTATGACCACATCTAGTTTTGTAAACATGTATTCCTGATATATTGATGCTGTAATTGCTCTTTCTGGTGAGCTTCCGCTCTTGTTGAGACCAGTGTTGTATGAAAGGTAAAATGCTGTATCTGTAACCGTATGAATTTCAACGTGTCAGGAAAATGTCCTTCGCTGTATTTTATGAGCAAAGTATTGATGGTTCACAAGAAGAAGACCTACTTCAACATAACCTGATTTGTTTATTTTGCCGCTGCATATCATTGATGCATGTTATAATTTCTGTATGCTGACATTACCAATGACTAGTGTTTTGTCATGAATGCTGGATTTTTATTGGGGGTAATTGGAGACTGTGTCTTGTGAATTACACCATACGCCCCATAGATTTCAAATATTTTTTTATTTCTTACGTTACAGCATTTAGATGTGTCGATAAGTTGTCATTCTACCACAATGAATATTCTTAGCATATGCATTTTTGATGTCAGATCAAATGTATTTAAAGTGTCTTTATAAATGGACATTTTTTTTTGTTGTAAATAAAATATTGACTGTTTATTTGACATTGGGAACACCTCGAGTGAAACTGTTTTCAATTTAGTCATACAAATATCAAGACTCACAAGTCCAAAAATAGATTTATTTGTGTGTCTTTCAAATATATTGATCAAATGTCAATAAGTTCAATCATGTAAAAACATAACCTGGGAACATTTTATAATTTAATCTTTCCAACACTTAAAGGTATAAAGAAAATACATCAATTCTTATACAAAAATATACAATCCAATCAGTCATTTGTTAGTGATTATCTGAGTCCCTGTCTTTCAACCATTATTTTACCAACAAACCTTTCAAGTAAATCACCAGTCCTGACTGCAACAACATTTACTGTAAACCCTCGCCCCCGTCTGACCGGGACTGTGTCAGGTTCAGATAACGATGCATTGCTTTATAAAATGTAATTTGTGTGGGGTGAATGGATAACTGCCAGTCTTAAAGGGCTGGAGTTTGGCTTGATTTACGTGGATAATCTGACAATATTGTAGCCTTTTAAGAAACATAAATGACACATTTAACACTCCTATAGTCCTCAATACAGTATAATCCTCAAAAGACAATGAATACAAAAAAACAGTACACCAGACACTCAAGTTACACAAGCATTGGGGAAAAAAAGATGCAAAGTGCAATTAAAACTGTAGCTACTTATTGCTTAAAAATAGATATTCTCTTTAACAAAGCTGCCCCTGGAAAAAGGTTGAATGCAAGCTTCTAACTAAGCGAAGTAAACATTTTACACCCACATGTCAAAAAATGAAGTCTGTGTTACAAAAACACTGACCAGCAGCTAAATCCATACCTCTACTGAAGCCATTTTAAAGAGACTGATGCGTTTTTTGGCCGCTTTTATTTTCTCAAATTTGTCCTCTTGACTTTTCTACAAATGGCAAGAATTAAGAGCATTTTGACTACAGATGAACCTAAAAAAAGACGAGTAAAAATGAAATCTGACGTGATCCAGTAGTATGTTAGCCCTTCAGCCACCGTTGGCCTGACGGCGATGCCTCTTGTGACGACCGACCACTTTATTTCCTGTAGTGGGATGATAAAGTGACGAGTTACATGTGCGTAACATTGGACATCTTTTATGTAGTTCTGACAACATTTGAGCGAGGTTACCTGCATCCCTCTTCTGCAGTTTGTGTGGAATTTGGATAGTGTATGCCCCCGGTAAACCCTGGGGACCTGGATCACCTGTAAACATAGGAAACTCTCAGATTGCCTTGTCTCAGTCACTCCACTAAAACATTTCTCTGGAAAATATGCAGTGTTTCATCAGCTCTGTTTAAATGTACCCTTGTCTCCTTTGGGTCCTGGGTACCCTCTGTCTCCCTGTGGTCCAGGGCCTCCTGGAGGGCCGGGGATGGTGCCATAAGCTGTGCAAGAGAAAAAGCACAGATTCAGTCACGATGAAGCAACATTTTCCAACTATGCTTACATAAGTCTGGACAGTTTTCCGTTGCTGTAAGATTTAAGCTGATACAGTATGTGGAAAGTCATAACTCTGTATGCTCACTTCTGAAGAATTCCATGAGGTCAGCTGTGACATTGCCGTAGGCACCGATGACACGGCTTTGACCAGCTGGTCCGGGAGGGCCAGGTGGACCAGGGGGGCCTTGGATCGCTCTAACGTTCGTCCTCCAAGGACCCTCAACCAGATACTCCTGCAGCAGGCCTTGATCTAGGGGGAGAGTTTTTATATCAAACTTAGACCTCTTTCATCATTGTTGGCCTTTGTAACTCACTAAATCTATAGCAACATCCCCCAAAGCATTATGGGAACTGTAGTTAGAGTATATCTACCAAACAGAAGTATAAATGAGTAATTAAGATCTACTTGTCGGCTGTAATGGACTCACTCTTGATGTAATCAGTAACTTTCATGGCAACGTTGGAGTAGTCCATCGTGTCAACGTGCGTCCTGACATTGGCATCTGACAGCCTGAAGCCGTGGCGACTGTTGCCCTGAGAGTTGCTCTGGCTTTGCAAGTAGCCCTGAACGTAACCCGGCTCTCCGCGCTCTCCTTTCTGACCCCTTGGTCCTTGAGGCCCTGGAGGTCCGATGATGGCATGACGAACACTGTCACCTGAAAAATAAGAGTTAATTTCAGGTTTTGGTTTTATGGAAGTTAAAAGGGTTATGTTTGACTACACATACTGACTGATCTGTCTGTGAGGGATGTTTGGAGCTTACTGGTCAGATACGCCTGGATTTCCGAGCGGAGGCTCTCCCGAGGGAAGTTTCCACTGTATGAAACTGTTCCAGTGTAACTGCCTGGTGGACCCTGTGGACCAGGAGGGCCAGGAGGGCCAGGAAGACCTCTGAACCTAGAATCTGAGAAAGATTCAACTCATTGTTACTGTAATTGTAAAGCAAGATGAGGCTGTGCATCCACATTTATGTTAACAGGGTTGGATAATAGACAAATAAACAACAGTCACAATAACCATATTGTTGTTGAACTCATTCTGAGTATTAAGCAAGATGAAGGTAAGCTTTGATACAGGAATGTTCCCCCTGAAGATCTTGTTTTTGCTGACCTCCAGTGGTCTAAGTTCTCATCTCGCTGCAGTGATGTAAAAGTGTACTCCAGGGTGTGTCAGTACACCGTGACATCATATGGGGGTTCTCAAATAATAGTTTCTTTGAGAACAAATTTACAAGTAGTATTTTATGGATGGATGTGTTAGTTTAAATGTAGATGTATGTAAAAGTTGAAAGAAGGTTGTTTCCTTATTTGCCAAGGGATATTGTGAAAAGATGATTGTAATGTTATATTCTGTGTTTATGGTCTGTGGTATTTCTATAACTAACTATAAGTAATGACATTTTGAAGAAAAGGATTAATGTTTTGTATCTACAGTATCTATTGGGATTTATTGGTCACAATGTGGATCAATGAATTATACAGAACCCAGAAATACAGCATGATGAACTGGAAACTCAGAGTATTGTTACGTATTATGGTCTTAACACAAGAGTGTAGTGTGTAGTAATCGAGGCAGACACTGTCATTTACTTTATATGTAAGCATTTACGAGTTGATTGTCAGGGTTTAGTGTTGCACCATGCAAGTGTTTCTACTCCCGTTGGTGACGTAAAGCAAACTAATTGAAAGTGCATCTGCAAACGCGGGCGTCTTTGGTTTGTGTTTACAAGAAATTAAAATTTGTTTAGCTATGTACGTATAAATAATTAATCCTGTTTTCGGTAAATATTCTCTAAGGGAGGCAATTATGATGCTAAATAATGTAATTAGTTGAGGTTGCTATGAGGAATATAAATATATATAAATACAACACAACCATTATCACCCTTTAAACCGTACACACACACACAGCGTAGTAACATTGGTTGTAGGTTGTGGACGGATCGTTAAACCTTCCGTCATATAAATTTGTGTCAGTGTTCATATTTATTGATGGTTTTCTTTATTGTAAGGTAATATTACATTTACTTGCTATGTGAATCCAAGCTATAGCATTAGTTGTTGCATAATCTTCATCTCCTCTATCAGACTCACCCTGCAGGTAACGCTGAATCTCCTCAAAGCTGTAGCCACGACCTCCCGCCCCATACACAGTGGCCGAGGAGACTCCTGGTGGCCCCTGAGGGCCCTGAGGGCCCTGAGGGCCAGGTGGCCCTTGGGTTCCAGGAGGACCATGCGGTACGGCAGACTTAAACCATACCTGGAATTCTGGTTCTAAGTAGATGAAGATATGAGGACGATGATGAGTTTTTGTAACTTGTCACTGTTCTCGGAGAAGGTTTTCAGTGTGATTAACGGAAAATGATAATAAAATGATTTACGTTTAATCAGTGCAGAATAGTCAATCACAGCGTGACTGAAACCAATGCCACCGACACCAGGAGGCCCAGGAGGACCGGGTAACCCAGGTGGACCTCTACTAAACCCTTCATCTGAAAATGACAATAAGAGCAGTTTGATTAATTAATTAAGTCCTGCTTCCACTTCCAGGGTTACTGTATTCTGTTTGTGCAAACCGTGCTTACCATTCTTGATATATGATATGACATATCTGGCTATGTCCTCTATGCCATAACTGCCTGAAACTCCTACTGATGTCCCTGGTGGTCCTGGTGGTCCTTGTGGCCCTGGTGGTCCTGACAAATATCTCCTCACATCGTCTCCTAGACAGCAGAGACACATAGTTTATCCCAGTGCAAGATGGACTTCTGTAAATACGTAGAGGACACTGTGGATTATATATGTAGCTCAGCTAGAATACTTACTCTGAAGCATGGTGATGAGAGCATTGACTGTCAGGGATCCAGAGCCAGGTCCAGGAGGACCAGGTGGTCCTGGAGGACCCTGAACGCCAATGCTGAGACCTGAGCCCGAACCTAAAATTGCACATAAGTTAATGGTGGCTCCCATTCTACTGTAATTATAATAAAACGATATAAGTTCTGGGGGAAAGCACAGGCGTACGTTGTATGTATGCAATGATTCGAGTGGCGATGTCGTCCATAGAGCCTGAGAAGGTTGCAGGAATTCCTGGAGGTCCAGGTGGACCTGGAGGTCCGGGGGTTCCTGCCAGTCTGCTTCTGCCTGCATGGAAGAAATAAAACAGGTTCATACTCTGCTCAGTCCCCCTGACAGCCTGTGAGCTCTTCAGAAAGACTCTTACTTAGATAGCTGGTGATGTACTGGTGCATCTCACTAGAAGAGCCGAAGGAGCCCGGCTGACCTGGAGGGCCAGGAGGACCTGGGGGACCAGGAGGGCCTGCGGTGACCGTAAGGGCACCTGATGAAAAATTAGATAGTAAAGACCCAGAAGAGGTTATGTGGATTCAAACTTTAAAGTTACTTGAGATAAAACACTTTGTGTATTATTGTAAAGAGTAGTTAGAATGATCATTTTGATTTGCTCTACCTCTTGAATGGCCAGAACTACCTGGAACTCCAGGGTCCCCTTAGAAATGATAAACAACGACAAAAGCATTATCTTCATGTGATGCACACAGGCAGATACAGTGCTCACTCAGACAATAAAACACTGACAGCTTTCACAGATTCATATGTATGAGTAGCTCTACCTTTAAATCCTTGCGGTCCTGGAAGTCCAGGAGGCCCTGGTGGACCAGGAGGCCCAGGAATCCCGTGCCCACCAGAATAAGACACTGTAAGGAAGATATAGTAAATAAATAGTTATACATTAAGCCTGTTCCCCACACATCCTCAGCCCTTGAGGCTTTCTAATGTGACTTTGTCTGATTTGTGTTTGGATGTTGACCTCTCTCAGAGCTTCCTGGAATTCCTGGCTGGCCTGGTTCACCTGAGACACACATAAGCATTATTTATGCTGGGAAGGCGATCTGTATTGTGAGTGATTTAAAAAAAAACAACACACACACACACACACACACACACACACACACACACACACACACACACACACAAACACACATTAAAGAAAGACAGTTACCTTGGTATCCTCTTGGTCCAGGAGAACCTGAAATAATAATGTAGATGTTAAAATAAAGTACAACTAAAACTAAAAGAGAGAAAGCCTCTTTAAATGAGGTATATAGTAAGAGATCACCTGTTGATCCTTTAGGCCCGGCGGGCCCAGCTGGTCCTGGCGGTCCTGGTGGTCCAGAGTAAAACGTTCCTGTAACGAGAGCAATGTTGAAATCTTTTCTGCTCTACATGTCAAACCCACATCAAGACATAGCATGAATTTGGATTTTGGATCATACCAGAGCCAGAGCTGGATGCAAAGCCTGGTTCTCCTCTTTCTCCTTTAGCTCCTGGTCTTCCATAACCTACAAAGCAGAAATGATAATGATAAACTTTGATATGAAGAATGGCTGAGCTTTACATAACAAACAAATGCACCATATGATCCATTTGCATCAGAGAATGAGCTGAAATACTTGCCTGGCTGACCTGGAGGCCCAGGTGGTCCTGGAGGTCCTTGTCTTGAATCTCCTAATGAAAGCATTTTCCAAACAATCAGTGACGCAATTTGAAGAATATTACAAGTAGATATTACTGTGGTTATTCTCATGATGCTGCGACAGAGCATCTTGTCTTATTTACCTGGACGTCCAGGAGGACCCGGTGGGCCGGGTGGGCCAGGTTGTGCAGAACTGAACTCCCCTAAAGCAGAAACAAAAATACACAATTTTAGGTAATGAACAGTTTTCTTGTGTGTAGAAGTAAATTACTGAATAGTGGCCACAGCACAATGCTAAACGCGAAGAGTAACAGTAGCATAAGCAGAGAAGCTGACTTTGTAATGTCAGTTTTAATTGTTTGCTAGCATTGGCCACCATAGATACTGGTCATACCCAACTAAGTAAGGCTGTAGCATCAAAACACCTGAGTGTACAGAACTGGACTGTATTGAATTCAACTTTTAATTCCCAATTACTTTCTCTCAAAAGGTACATAGTTTCACTTTTAGTATATTCTGCAGATAATGTTACACCACAGATGTATGATAGAAAACCACTGAAATATGAAATAAGTATGCGCTCTCACCTCTGGTTGTGCTTTCAGACGTTTTCACTATTATTCCTTGTTCTCCCTGATCTCCCTTATATCCCCTGTCACCTTTAGGACCTGTACAGACAAACACAATGCAGCGTCTATGAGACTCTGTGGGAGACATATCCAATCTAAAAAGCTTCCTTTAGGAGCCAAAAAAGCACAAAGACCTACCAGGTTGGCCAGGCAGACCAGCAGGGCCAATGGGACCTGAGAAGGTTATACGTAACACATATTAGTACAACATGCCAATGCAACAGACAGGTATTGTAACTACTGATATGGCACAATTATTCAGAGATAAGATTCCATCATCTGGCTGAGCTATTAAGGGTCAGACCTGATAATCCTGGAGGTCCTGCAGGGCCGGGAGGACCAGCAGGTCCAGGTGGTCCTGGGATGCCAACAGAAGAGGCGCCAGCTACAAAATAAAAGTGACGATCAGATATCCTGAAACTACTGTATAATCTAAAAATATAAACGTTTTACGCGTACTAGCTCAGAAAATATGAGCTACCATTACGACCAATGTTAAAAAGCAGTGTAGGCAGGTAGCTATTAACAGTTCGCGCAGGAGTCAGGTTTATTCCTAATAATAAGATCATAAGATTGACTGAGCTAATTTGGTGGAAGCCATGATTGCAGTGTTTTTGAACCATTCGTTTTACCTTCACTTACTATCACATTTAGGCTCGTAACTAATCATGGATGTATGCGCGCTACACAGGCATGAACGTGACTACCTAGCAGGCTGATACTGAAATTAAATATAACAGGAAATGAAAAAACTTCCCATAGTATTTTCACTTGAAATGTTGTAATAATTTGATAGTATTATGTATTTTTTAATTAGTTTATTTCTAAAAGAAATAATAATTTCGGAGGTTCCTCTGCGTACCACAAGAGGGAGCCCGCGTACCAGCCGTGGTACACTTACCTGCATTGATGATTCTTCCTGCTGCTCCTGTTTCACCTTTGGCGCCAGGTCGTCCTGGATTCCCTGGTATCCCTAAAAGTATGATGAAAGTACAGTTTTAGTGTTGAGAGCAATAAAAAAAAAGAATTTACATCAAGGTGTAGAATTACTTATAAAACTACAATGTGTATGGATAGTAGAGTTGTACCTGGTGGTCCTTGAAGCCCATGTGTTCCTACAGAGGAGGAGATATTATTAATAAATCTTAATTTATCCACAGATGATAATGTTAATGTTGCTGAAGATCAAGTTTCATAACAGTCACTCAGTTTACCTGGAAGTCCAGCATCTCCAGGAGGCCCAGCAGGACCTCTGAGTCCGGGAGGCCCCGCAGGCCCGTGGTCACCTGAGGTCCAAAAATAAAAATATAACTTATGAGTTGGGCTGAAAACATTGTGAGGAAGAGGAAGAAAAGCCTTGTTTTTAGATTGAACCCTCATACATTTATTGAGTTGCGTGATCTCAAATGTTACGTCCTTGTGCATATTAAAATAATCTGTAATGTTCATATAATAACTCATTTACCTCTTGATCCTTTCTGACCATCAGTTCCAGCCACCCCTGATAACAGAAAAACAAAGAAGAAACAAAAATTATATTGAATATCAATCAATACATCAGTCTAAAAATGTTACTTATGTTGTAACGGTTTATTTTCAGTGTATGTTATTCCTTCCATGAACACTAGGGGGGCTTTACTCCTCTCTGCTGCCCTCTGCTGGAGTGTGGCATTTTATTTTTACTGCCACATGGAAATCAGTTGTAATGTAACAAACTTGTAACTAGCCAAGAAATGGTTCAGATCATAACTTCAAGTAAACCGCATTGTTTTTACGCAACAGTTTTTGTACAGATTAAACAAACTAGATTTGTTTATCAGAGGACAGAGGCCAGCTAGCTGCTTGCCCCTTGTTTCTTGTCTTTGTGCAAAGCTAAGCTAATCGTGTGCCGGATGTAGTTTCATATTTAATGGACAGATATGAGCATGGTATTGATCCTCTTATCTATCTCTTGGTCAGAAAGCCAAATTAATCACGCTAGGTTATAGTTTATAAAAAGAATATGATCATGTAAGTGTCTATGAATGAGTAAATTATCTGAGGCTGGTGGTCCTCAGACTCACCCATTGACCCTTTGATTCCTCTCTCTCCAGCTGGCCCTGGCAGACCTGGTAAACCAGTATCACCTGAGGAGTGGAACAACTGGATTAGCACCGGATGCTATACTCAGAGTGTATAACATGCTAAATTGACAGCTTCAAATAAAGTTTAATTCACAAAGCTGTACTGACCTGGCAGACCTCTGAGACCTTTGTCCCCAGCTTCACCTGAAATAAACATGATTTAAACATTGGTTAGAAATATTCACTGATCTCACAAGTCCTATAAAAACCTGATGTAGTTACAACAAACCTTTAAGTCCTTGGAATCCAGCAAGCCCTCTGTCACCTGCAGAGTAAGAAGAGTGACTGTGAGTAATATTGTAGTATATTATATTATATATATATATATCTGTATTTAGCAGCCGTGTAACCTACCTTTAGACCCAGGTAGCCCTGCCTCGCCACGGAAACCCTGAGCACCTGGTTGACCTAGAGCAAAACAGTTCATGGAAAATGCCAGGGATTAAATCTACGTCAGTACCAACAGTATTTTCAGTTGCTGCAGGTACATTTGAGATAATATTCAACTCAGTGGGTGTTTTTCATGGGAACAGGGAGAAACTGACCTGGTGGCCCAGAAAGCCCAGGAGCTCCATGTTCACCTAGCACAAAGATGAATATTTATAAGGAAGGAGAATCACTTAACAGCAACATTATAATAGCCTTTAGGCACCTTGAAGCATGTAAAGTAAACAAAAATGTAACATTAGCATTAAGAATTGACACAGACAATAGTGTAAAAATCCCATTAGTCAATATGGTGGTGTACAAAGATTTTATAAGACAAAGATTTATGTTTTATTTATAGGCCTACTTTATAGAAATGTATTTAATTAAATGATCATATCCATGCTGGGTTCATAACCCCACATTCATCATATTTTAATTGTTATAAGTGCTTTAGGGAGAACTGTAATTATCAACATACAGTTAGAACAAGAGAAAAATAAATATATAAATAAAGATTTATTCTACAGTGAAGCTAATACAGAGAAGCCAAATAAGCATTTAGATTAATGCATCAGGAAAGACAGGAGAGATAAAATGTGTACATTCATACTCATGTTGTTTCATTATCTTTAAAGCCATAATTAAACAGCACTTTGAGAGTGTCTTTCTCGCTTAATTAAATGTTTAAAAAGGTACATTTTGTTAGTTGCTACCCCCATTGGCAATGATTGATAAAACGTGTGGTTGTGGTGGGGCGTGAACGCCAGAAAACCTTTATTCTGAAGGGGGACACACGAGAAAACATTTGAGAACCACTGATATAAGGTCAGGACAAAAGCACAAGCAGAATAATTTAGTAAAGTTTAGGACAACAGTTAGGAGGTTAAAAAGTTAAAGAGTCATTCATGGATGAGGGTCCCCTTACCCCTTAGTTTTACGAAGCATTGTTTCTACTGAAGCACTGAGTTAATGCTGGTGTCTTAGTAGAAGTAGAAGTAGCAATATAAAATTGAAATATGTATCATTTTTCATCATTTGTGGTGTTTTTATTCTTAATTCCTATGTGGGTCAATGTGGAGGCTTTAATAGCAAACTGACTCTATGCTGCCACCTGGTGCAGTTTGCAGTTTATACACCATGAGAAACCTTTTGTCACAAGTAAAACAAGTGGTATTTTGATGTCAAAACATTAGACAATTAGATTTTATTTAATGTTTATTTAAATGTAAAAAAAACTGAGTTATGTTGAATGGTCTCACCTTTTGGTCCGACAGATCCCACAGGCCCAGGAACCCCAGGATCTCCAGCAGCACCTGTTTGAACCAAGCACACGACATCCTGTAGTGACACGATCAAGACAGGCTAGGAGGTATTACTACCACTCAAAAACATACAAGTTATGTTACTCTGAGCCTCATACCTTTGTCACCTTTCGGTCCAATGCCTGAATGTCCTGGCTCACCTCTGGGGCCAGCAGGGCCCTCGCGACCCCTGATACCAGGTTGCCCATCCAGTCCGTGATCACCTGATCAGACATTGTACATACAGATTAAACGTCTCACTCTAAATGAGCCAAGCAGTGCAGCTACATCATCAACTGAAGCTCTCTCTGTACCTTGACTTCCTTTCTGTCCTTTAGGACCCTCAGGGCCTGTTTGTCCCATCGCACCCTGAGCACCTGAGGTCAAAGGTCACGGTCAGTAAAATGACATTGTGATGCCACATAAGAGTTCTAAGAAAATGTAAAATACTGGTAATGACTCAAGGAAAATGTTAGTCATCATTCCTCACCTGGAAGTCCAGGGAAACCAGCATCTCCTGTGACGAAAAAAGGTACATTTGATTATGAAGAGAGTCCACAGAAAAAGAAATGCAACACATCAACAGAATTACAACTGAAAAGTCTAAAAAAAAAAAAAAAGATTTCTAGCGATAATAAGATTTTGCTGTCCAACCTTTAGCTCCAGGGTCCCCTAAAAAGAATAAAAAATATACATAAATGAACATAAAATAAACACGACTCATATTGATTAACTTTAAAAATGGGTCTACATTGAGATTTTATGAAAGAAATATGTTTTAATTTCACCTCTAGGTCCAGGCAGTCCTCTCTCCCCCTGTGCTGAGGATGCTACAAAAGCTGAGACAGAAAACAACAATTCAGTTAACATGAACATAGTGTGTGTGTGTGTGTGTGTGTGTGTGTGTGTGTGTGTGTGTGTGTGTGTGTGTGTGTGTGTGTGTGTTAATTTAGTCAGTATATATGCATGTACTGTACCTCTGAATGTTTGTGAATGCATCTCAGTTGTTAGCATGTTCTGAATCATCTTCTGAATATAAGCAACGTCCATGTGTCCTCCACTCATGCCGGTCCCGAGGCCAGTACCACTGAAGCTGGTACTGCCAGCACTGCCACTGGAACTGGTACCAGTGCCGCCAGCACTGCCACTGGAACTACCGCCAGCACTGCCACTGGAACTGGTACCAGTGCCGCCAGCACTGCCACTGGAACTACCGCCAGCACTGCCACTGGAACTGGTACCAGTGCCGCCAGCACTGCCACCTGCAGTACCGAGATCAATGTCATTGCCACCGCTACTGCTGGCACCAGCAGCAATCCCAACTCGTGTTTTGGAGTCTATGCCTCCTCCTCCTCCTCCTCCTTCAATGATGTCATTGGAAGAACTTGAGAGCCGACTGGTATGAGCACTGGCGGCCGAGGACTCTGCCTCCAGGGTAGCCACTCGATTCTTCAGCTTTCTCACATCCTCAGCTGAGAAAGTAATGATAAGATAAATAAAATATAGTACAGTAATATAGAAAAATAGAGTTTTACACAGGTTACGAATGTATCTGTTGCAGCCACGTTCTAGGGTTTGACACGTATCTCTGTGTTATTTCACAGCTTTTATCCTTATTTCACTGTAATTGTCATGATTATTGTTCATCATTCACTTTCAGGTAAAGCAATAATGACTTTAGCAATACAAACAAATGGGACAGGAGTGCATTTGGATTGGCTACCAAAATAAATTATAGAAAGAAACTGAGAAAAGTATGACAACCTTGATACAGAGCAGGGGTTTTGAAAGTCTGACAAATCTGAGATAACAGTGCATTGAGAGGGATGTTTCCATGGAGTCAGTTAATTCGGTATGGGCTACAACTTTTAGCCTATATTTGTTTACATTTTGGCAAATTGGCAGCATTAAAAGTATGCTGAATTAGCTATTAGCTGTCCATGTTTGCAATGTACTTTAGATGTACAGAGAAATATCACGGGATAAGTTTGACACTGAATTGAGCTACAAGAATGTCTTTTTCTCCTTTTTCTAAGCAGATTTTTGACATTCAATCACAATTGACATGGGACTGGAAAGTTTAACTCACATTGGATCTAAAAATATGTGTAACATCAATTAACTCACTGTATGTACGGTACAGGATCAGTAACTGCTCAACAGATTTTGATGCACGCTTTCATACAAGTAAAAATATACCTCAAATCAGAGGTTAAAAGTGTAATTTTTAGGTTGTTTTTTATCACACTTTTCAGGAAAAATCCACACCAAAAACTCTCCTGCTGCAGGAAAACAAACTGGAGTCTCTGATGTCATCAAGCAACAATTTCTGGAGCTGCTCCACTGACAATGAATGCCAGACCCACTTTATGGCAGTGAGACAGTACCCACAGATCAAGTTTCCAAGGAAAGGAGTGGATTTACTGTCTCACGGCTCTTAGCAGCACTGTGAAATAATGCTCACTAGCCTGTAAAAGCTGAAACACACATTTTATTGGTTCAAAAACAGTCAATCCCATGTGATTCACTGCAGAGCAGTGGCAGAGAGTATCTGATGACTCCTCGGGGTTTATCTTTGGGGAGATTTGTATTTTTCCCTATTAAATGTCATTATGTTTTATAAGTCAACATTACCCAGTGCAATGAGCCCAAACAGGAGACCCAGCAGGAGCAGGGAGAGGAGGAGAAGACCGAGCAGCCATTTCCACCAGGAGCAACAGGAGTCGGAGCAGCAGCAAAACCCTCCTCCTCCTCCGAAGATGCCGCTGTCCCTGTGAATCTCTGAAGATGGAGTAAAGAGTTAAAATCCTCGCTGTCAACCACCAAGTTGCTCATCATGTCAACATATATGCTATCAGAAATACCTGCATAGGTGGCTTTGTCTTTCATCACAACTCCAGATGATCCGTCTGATGTAAGAATGAATACAAATCAATCATTTATTTTTATAATAAAAGTTATTTTTTCCTTTCTTAGAGATGTTGTTACCACTCACAGTAAGAGTTGCCTGTCTCCATCTTCAGTGGCATCGTCTCACTGTAGCTTGAAATAAGCTTCTCTTTCTTTATCGAATCTCCCGATAACGAGCCTGTAAAATTAGAAAAACTTTTTTAAACACGGGAAAAGAAGAGGAAAAAGAAAATCGTGATAATAGTATTAATAAGCATTTTGGTCTGCCTGTGAAGGGTCCCTAAGAGGTGAAAAAATAAATACTGGGACAGGTGATAGTACTTCATTAACAGCCTGTATCAGGGTTGCATGGTGTACAATTATGTAAAACAAAATACTTTACTGTATAAATATACTTTACAGCTCGCTGTGGTCATGGGAAGTTTGGGATCCAAACTTGGGTCCGGAAAAAGTTTAGAACACCCTTTAAAGTGAGAGAAAATTCACAGTTTGCCCAGAAGGGGGCAGTTAGTGTCCGACTCACCTCCTCCTATGTGAACGCTGCTGCTGCTGGTGAACTGCTTCCCGCTGTCTTTAGCCAAAATGAGCGTCTCCGTGTCTCTCTTGGCTGAAACGTTCTCCTTTTCTGAGATCAGGAACCTTTTCTTGTATGTGTCATCAGTTTGGGATCTAGTGGCTGATAACAACAAAACAACAACAAGACACTCAGGAATCATTTAAGAATTGGTTTGACTCTGACACCTTTTTATCATATAAAAGGAAATTATTTGGATTTACTTGTAGAGATTCCAGTGCTGACGACACCACCACCATTCGACAGGTTCTTCTGTACGCCGTAACCTGTGACTACAAACACACACACACACACACACAGATAAATGCTCATGTAAGAAAGGTCATATTTTGTGTTTTTTTTATTATAAGTGCAAAGTATTTGATAGTGTCAAGATATTGTAGAACCAGGCTGCGGTACCTCCTACGTTAGCGTTTACGTTGGCTCCACTGGTGGTGAGCACACTGCTCGAAGTGGGAGCCAGATTATTCTGAAAGCCGTAAACTGTAAACAAAAATGAAGGCAGGGTTTGATTTAATTAAATAATGAAACCATAAAATAGCATGCACTTGTCTGAAAATGTATAAAAAAGAAAAGAAGAAAACCAAAACAACAACACATATGGAAAGAAAGAAAAAATAAAAACAAGAAAGAGTAAATGGAACAAGAGCAAGGTGTTCTAGATCAGATTTAAGCATGAAACTGGATAAAAATGTTAAAACTGAACGAAACACAGTCACAGATTCATCAGTATACATATTGTTTTGTCTAACAGTCCAAAATCCAAAGATATTTAATTTATAATGATGAAAAACAGGGAAAGCATTAAGTCCTCACATTTTAGAAGCTGGAACTGCTTGTTATTGGGCAAGTGGGGGCAATGTAAGAATTGTAAAAATCTGCATGATGGACTTTTTTTAGTAGTGGCCCAAAACAATGTATTCTGTTCAATGTTTAACTTAACAACGGCACAAATCAGTCAAAATGGATGTCTAAGGACACAACTGTGGAGATCCTTAGAGTATATTCATTTTTAATGAATCATCATAAGATGTTTACATGACCATAAATTTAAATTTTTGATAGGAAATCACAGTGATGAGAGTCAAAGATCAGTTAAAGAACAACTGAATATTTACCAGAGTGGGCTTGTTTGCTTATTTATTTATGTGTGACGAAGTCCATGTACAGACTTTAATAAAGTACCAGAAGAGGCGAAACATTCTTTACTACACTACAAACAAGACAACGTTTCACCTGCAGGTAACAGGTAATATTCAATATTTGTATTGTCTCACCTGACAGGGACGAGGGTGAGGTGAGGCCAACCGGTGAGGACCCTCCTCCCGGCATGTTGTTGGTGCTGGCCTGGTACGTGTAGCTGCTGGTGTTGCCAGCAACCACGGTGGCGGAGGAGGAGGGCAGCGTGGAGGTGGACCAAGAGAAAGATGGAAGTGTAGCGTCCAGAGTGTCATACTGGCCTGATCTCATAGTATCATACTGGCCTGATCTCACACTGCTGTCATACTGCCCTGATTTCAAACTCATGTCATAGTGTCCTGACTTTACACCAGTATCATACTGGCCCAATCTGACACCAGTATCATATTGCCCTGATTTCAAACTCATGTCATATTGTCCTGACTTTACACCAGTATCATACTGGCCTGATTTTACACCAGTATCAAACTGGCCTGATTTTACACCAGTATCATACTGGCCTGATTTTACACCAGTATCAAACTGTCCTGATTTCAAACTAACATCATACCTGCCTGATTTCACACCAGTATCATACTGGCCTGATTTCAGAGTGACATCATACTGGCTTGATTTTACACCAGTATCAAACTGCCCAGATGTCAGACCGTTATCATACAGGCCCAGTGTATCAATGGTGTGGAAGGCACCTGATCGCACACCAGAGCCAAATGAAGTCTGAACTGCAGGAGAAAAAGGACACAAAGACAGAAATCAAGAGAGCGTAAAGTTTCTCTAAATTAAACCAAATTAAGTTTAATAATTCAGAATGCAAACAACAATGGTAAAAAACATGTGACAGATGTTGTTGCTCAAAATAAAATGAAAAAATGTGTGTATTAATGTGTATTGATTAATGTTTTACACTTTAATTAAAAGCAGCGTCCCAATTAATTAATTACAGGTCTCCTTTACTAGCCTGGTGTGGTAACATGTTCTCAATTAGACGCCGGGTCTGGATTTCATAGAAATTCTTTGGATGTATAAAACCTCTTTAAAGCACATCGGTCGCCCGCTTGAGCGAGTTCTAAGCTGCTTAGATCGCCATAACAAATAATTCCCATCTTAAAGGCAGGTTGAGTTCATTGACTGAAGGAAATAAAAGCCTTGGTTATTATTTGAAGTTTAACGGTAATATTGCTGATATTTTCTTTGTCTGTTGTCCATAATAATTTAGTGCATGAGAGGTACAAACTGAGGCCATTTAAACCATATATCTTTAGGAGGGAGACAGGTTGTCTATGCATGCACAGTATGTGTGACTCTGGTGAGGGTATATTACCTGACTGAGAGGCCACAGAGATGGTCTTGGTTTCCACACTGGCCTTTTTAGGAACTGGCAGGGTTATGGAAGCACTGGAGGAGCGAGTGGGGCTGACGCTGCAAGAGCGTCCCTTCAGCAGCTTCTTCACATCGTCTAGCTCCGTCCCTGTAAAACCACAAACAATGCTCACCAAATATATGCCATAAATAATGCCATAATGTGTTCTTTCAGCTTTCTGGTCCATTTAAACTTGATTGTTTAAGAAAATAAACTTGATTTTGATTATTTAGGAATAAAGGAATTAAATCTCTGTTGTGCTAGGTGTCAATCAACAATTTACTACATATTAAATATATATGTATGTATGTATGTATGTATGTATGTATGTATGTATGTATGTATGTATGTATGTAGCTTAAGAACTGAGATCTGCTAGAGTTTAGCTGGGGATTTCTCCACCATGATTGGATTTAGTTACTTCCTTATTTAATTATGTAGATTTACTAACTGAATTACCAAAAGTCAGTTGATCTGAATGGATATTTTTCAATTACAGATAACAGCTAGGGGAAAATACATTTATTTAAATATTTTACATTTTTAAATTTAGCTTTGGCTTTTAGCTCAGGCTCTCACCAGCTAGCTGTTATTTAATAATTAATGTATTCATAAATAGTGTACATACATAAGCATTAGCAGCAAAATGTGCTTCAAGTATAAAAGTAAAAGGTAGACCGGTCCCTGTGTTATTTTTAATTAATGGATTATTATCAGGTTACTGATGCATTCATTTAATACTGGTGGAGGTGGGACTAATTTCCACTACTTTATAGTGCCGGGTTGTTGGATCTTTAACATTGCATCATACTCTGAGTTGACTTTGTCTATTTGTGTGTAAAATCTTGATCTTCAAAGTACTATATATAGAAATGTTGTATAACATGGAAAGCACAAGTAGGCATACATCAAAATTACACTACAGTTAAAGGTGTTAGGGTTAAGGTGGCACATTTTTTTTTATCAAAAATTAAATTATGGCAGTTATACACTTTAATCAGCAGGGGGAGCGTTGTGACTCTGCACTGTTTTGCCTCAAACGGGATGTGCTGCAAACAGTGACTCATGTGTGCCATTGTTGCCACCACAAATCTGCCCCCTTAACTTCTTCCCCACATGAACACAATGCAAACAAACCCATGATTCTCCTCGTTTCGGTCGCACCCTTTTCTTTTGTGCAGATGTGCACCGTATATCCTGTGTGGGGGGATCTGCACATGTGTTACTAATTTAAATTTCCTGGACGTAAACATGCATGTGAGAGGTGAAAGAGTAGGAATGTCCTTTGTGTAAAATACTGAGCCAAAGCATTTGACAGTAACGTAATTCAAAAAACATGCTGCTCTAAAGTGACCCGGCAGTGAAAACTTGTTCACTATCAGAATGGTTGAGCATGCTCAAATAAAGATGCTTTGTTGCTTCATGAGGGATTGCATAACCGACAGCAAATGGATCAATGTGTCTCAAGTGGTCTTACATCTGCAGGCGGTGGGAGAGGCACTTTGTAATCTGGCTCTGATCTCGCTCTCTGGAAAAAAAATCACACAATGGACAAAGGAATCCTGATTTAATAAAAAAGAAAACCGGGATAGTTCAGAGTCAGATGGTGTAGAAATAATGAAGGGAGGAGGGCGTGGAGAAAAAGCTATTACTGAATACCTCTGCTTTCGCTCCTCCCTCTTGTGGTGCTGGAGCCTGAAAGGAAAACAGACAGAAAAACATAAACACACACAGAGACATGATGAGGATAAAGCTGGAAAAACATAACTAGGTATATAGAAAGTATACAATCTCATGCAGCCATTCTCACATACAATAGACTCCATAATCTTTGCGTGTAAATTCTGGAGAGGAATTAGCACTGGAACTTCCTAGAAGAAAACACAATAGCAGCAGAAATGTTAACAGCACCCTCGCGCACAACGGTTTCCTTTCTCTTTTTATGCTTCTGTTTCAGGCAACCCCATGATGCCAACTGAGTTGTTTTTATTAACAGGATCTCACCATCATAACCTCCTGAGCGGCTGGATATGGTCTTCCTCTCGCGGAAACCTGGCGACAGGCCTCCTGATGAGCCAGCAGTCTGCGCTCTCCGTGCACCACCCGAGGAGCTGGACCTGACCTTTGACACCGAGCTCACAAGATAGCTGCCACCGCCTCTGCCGCCTCCTCCTCCACCACCGCCTCCGCCGCCACCTCCTCCGCTTCCACTTCCGTATCCCTCACCGTCTATGTAGCACCCCCCTCCATCACCTCCTCCCGAGGAGTCTCCTCCGAGGTAAACTCCTGAGGAGGAGCTGTAGCTGCTGGTGTTCACACCTACAGAGGCTGGAGGGGGGGATGATACATGCAAGTTATTTTTGATTTCCTGCAACTGTATCCTCTCTGCAGTGTGAATAAATAAACAGGAATATCCCTGAGTCATTTACTCACTTACTTGTTATTTATATGTGTATTTAGATTTCATGTGACTTTATACTTATATATAGATATATTATATTTATAATATTGTATGTTTCACTGCACTATATTCATCTGACAGCTGTGGTTACAGGTAACAACCATATGATGGCAGAATGCTGAATATACAAAGTAGTTAAAGATCCAGTGTGTAACATTTAGGAGGCTCTATTGCCAGTAATGTAATATAATATTTAGGGATGTCCTTATCAAGGTTTTTTTAGCCCCCAATCTGATTTAAGTAATTTAATATTGAGTATTTTTAGATAATACAGTTGCACAATTCACACTTCAAGTTACTAAAATCAATCCAGTCCTTGACAACTGAATAGCTGTAATCTTGCATTAAAAAACAAAATGCCTTTCCTTATTTTTTTGTATTTTTTTAAATTGTTATTACACAATAAAGTATAAAAATAACAAGATTGTGTTGTCTTGTCGCCCAACATAGCCGATACTGACTATTTTCAGGTGATTATACACTAATTAAAACATACCTTTGAATATTAAATTCCATTTCTGCCAACAGATCCTCCTAAATGTTGAACCTTTAAACTCAATTAAGTGTTGATTATTATTGTAAGCTTTACTCTCCATATATGTTGAACTTTATGATACTTTATGATACTTATACCTGCAGATCAATGTAACATTCATTCAGCTGACCTGCTGTGCACTGACTCTGAGATTATCAAGGTTATCTAAACACAACTTTCCTTATAATAAGTGCCAAATTATACAACTCCTCCCAGGAACCTTCAGATGAATTTACAGTTAAACATCAGTTCCTTTCTTGAAAATGACAGGAAGCTATGGGCAGTGGGGAGGAAGTACTCAGGTCCTTTACTTAATACAAGTAGCAATACAATATTGTAAAAACACTCTATAACTATTATTTTATTGATTAACTGACAGATTGTTGGGTTTTATATAGCTTCAGGAAATAGCCTTTAATTAGCCAATTACCCAGAGTTCACAAGGAGACCTTCACACTGTTTGTTTTGTTTTTGCATGAAAACTAACGGAACCAATTATCATCAATTAGTCAGTGGATTAATTAAATTAATCAACTAATGAATCTAATTGCATACAGGTATACTGTTGGGTAGTTTAATCTACATCAGAGCATCATATTTTCTAAGATAATTCTATTAGATAATCCATAACTTTTGTATATAAAACTTTTAATTTGTAAAGTAACCACTAGCAATATCTGTCAAATACCTGTAGTGGAGTAAAAATGTTCTTACATTAGTATAAAGTGGCAATAAATAAGTGCTTCAAATGTGTACTTAAGAGTAAATGTACTTTAGTTATATTTTCAATTTGTAATGGAGTATTAAATATGAAGTTCTTAAAAACTGCAAGTGATGTGAAATGACACACGAAACCCAGAAACTGAAATTAGTGTTAGTTTCCTCCTACTGGGGGTTAAAAATATAACATCCAGCATCTCAGAACTTGTCCTAACACAAAACCACAACTTCCCAATTTTGGGCCATGAGTGGAAATTTGCTCTCACATGAGGAGAAATAAGTTCCACTGCTGTTCTGGGTTAAGACATTCTTCTCCAAGCCCAGCCCTCCAGCACCGCTGGACATATTCCTGTGATTTGATCCGCTGGTTCCCTCTAGCAACGAGAAGACACACAGCAAAACAAGGAGACGCTGTTACTCATCGGGTACTTCCTTTAGAACTGCTCGGCTATAATTACTGTATTATGCATTTAGTTTGCTGCTGATAATTAAAGCAGAAGAAAGAGACACTCACTTGGCGGTAGAGAAGTCAGTCTGGACGTGGAGGATACAGTTTCTGTCACAACTGATGGCACATGAAATAGAAGTAAAGTTATTACTCTGCGTATACTGAGCAGTTGCTGGGAGGTATCTACAGCTACAACTATGTTATTCAAACTTCTATATGTTAATCCCAGTTGGCAGCTGTTGACTGAGGTGTTGAGTGACTGGTATGGTGATGATTTTCATGCTTCTAAGTCCCACTTTCTAGTACAGGGTTTATAAGCAATAACTAAAGGCTTTATTAACAGATAAAACATGATTTTACAATGCTATATGTATCAGTTATAAGTCTTATTAAGAACAACATTCGGGTTGCCAGGTCGGTGTTTATCCTCCTCCTAGGACAGTGGCTTTGTATTTTTAGTTCATCAGAAGGAGCCTCCACAATCATTCAATCATCAAACATTTACACATAGTAAATAATGGATTATTATCATTATATGAACCCTTAAGCAGTGTTGGGCAGCAACGCGTTACTAGTAATGGTATTACAGTAATACTATTGCTTTCCCCAGTAGCTAGTAGTGTAACTAATTACTAATTAATGTCAGCAATAATATTAAACTTACCTCCACAAAAAAAAAAAAAAAAATTAGTTACACCTCACTTCTGTTGGCACCACCCTACAAATTTGATATCCAATCACATCTTTGGATTCTTTTTTATAATTGTGGAGGAAACGATGGAAACGCTTACATTCAGCGGGTGGAAATATTCCCATTACTTTGATTTTAACAAAGAAAACTGGTTTTCAAAAGCCGTCTCCTGCTTTGATATTTACGTTGACAAAAATGTCTTAGCATGAGAGAGACTTACTTGAGCTTTCAGCCAGATATCGTGGCTTTCATTTGCATATAGAGTTTGCTCAGTTGTCATGGAGATGGTTTAGCTGTTATCATGAGAAATAAAGTACGAAATGACAGCCATCTCTATAAAAGCCCTGGAAAACGAAGTCCAGTAAGTGGACCTTGTTTTGTTACTGATGTTTCCAAAATCACTAATAAACCTTCAGCCTCTTTTACTCTTATTTATGTTTATGTGTCATTTTCTCACTTAAATCACTCACTCTGTCCTTCTAGAGGCAGTTAAACAAGGTGCAGGAATATAGTTTATGTAAATCATGTTGTGTTTATAATGAACTGGGAGAAGATAAATAGTACTAATGACCGCCTTCTTCCACTAGAAGGCATCTTGTTCTCCAGCCTGGTTGAGTTTTATTGGATTCAGTTATGCATAATGTAAATTCCATTTCAGTTTCATGATGCCTCCTTGCTCCTGTCCTCCCTCCTCCTCATCCTCCTCCTTCCTTTTAGGGATTTCTATCTCTTCCAGGATGACGGCTAAAAACCAGAGGTAATCATGCTTTTGCTCCTGTTGCTCCTTGACTTTGAAACAGCTTCCGAAAAAGTCTCAGACAATCCAAACTGGTGCATAAAAAGCATCTTAAAACTCACTTGTTTTGGCTTTTTTATGGTCTTTTTTCTGAACTTTGTATATTGCGTCCAAACCACGTTATCTTGTCTATCTCTTCTTTTTTTCTCTCACTTTCTTTTCTCTCTTCTGTAAGGCACTTTGCAAAGCACTGTTGTGAAAAGTGATATATACAGGAGGTTTACTTTGGTAAAACAAGAAGGAGAACAAGGGGACAACAGAACAGCTGATTATATGTTTGTTTTCATCTAGAGTCCAACGTATAATCAGGCGTTCCTTGACCTCGTCTCAAAAGTCGTTAGGCCAAGATGAGCTGTCCTTTTACAGTCATGACTTAGTGGAGGAAACCCCGGAGGATGACTTACACCCTGAGCCCTGAGAGTGAGGAGCAGAAATGGAAACCTGAGACCAGGGAAGGCATGCCATGATGTTAGTAATGGGAAGCGCCCTCAAAAAAGAGACACAAGCATCACCCAGGAAAATAAGTGCATAAGTGTTTGTGGGTCTTTAAATGCAGATTTACACTATAAGCCAATATTTCTTTAAGCTTTCAGATAATATTTTATAGAACTTTACCACAATGAGGTCTGTGGAAATTGGACCTTACTTTTGGAAAAGACACATTTCTGCTGAGATTTTCAAATGTATTTTTCTGATGCTTTGGGCACCGTAAATGAGAGCCAGTTAGTCTCCACCGTGTCTCCTCCACTTACATCAACAGTGGGGTTTTTTTTGGTGTTTGTAACTTGTGTTTCTATGGTGGCTTCATTTGAAAATGTCATAAATAAGTTCAGAAATCTCACCCTTTTCTTCTGACAAGTCTCCTGAGAGGAAGTCCATCTGTCTTGTTAACTCGTCCATCCCATCTTATCTGGTAAGATGATAAAATGTCCACTGTCATGCAGATGCTGTGCCAACTGCTGTTAAAGTTCAGTTTATTTCTTGACTTGTAACTGTGGTTAAATGGCATTTCAGCAAACATTTAATTGGGAAAACATTTCCTAAGTTATGCGGGGAATGACCTTTAAGCCGCTTGTGTCTGATGTTTACTGCATCAATTTGAAATTTCATCCCACTGAGGACAGAAAAATGTCATCACATTAGTCTTGGGATCTTATTTTTAAAACCCCATTCTAATATTTCAGGAGATACTTGAACAACCAGCTTATAAAGATCTTGAGACAGAAATTCCGCAGTAGGCCCAACATAGACCTCACCTCTCACCTATACTGCCTTTAAAAAGAAAAACCAAATAATTTTCCAGACACATTGAATTCTCATGTGAATGGTGGATACCACAAGAAAGGCCCCCAGAAGCTCTGATGCATCATCTATAGATTTGAATAGAGTTTGTATTAACTTTGTATCTTTGAAGCCCAAACTAACAAAAGAACAAAAGAGGCCAGTGGATCACTGCACAGCTCTGAAAGACCATCCTCTCACCACACCCTGCCAGCCAAGGACATTTAACAGCATGTGCCTCATGTACTGCACACTTTCATTTATAGACATAAGAAAAAAGCAGAAATACTCTTTCCTCAAATCCTGGCTTCCTCAAATCAAAGTTTTCCAGTTTCTTCCACCTCTCAGAAAGGTAAAATATGAGTGAAAGCCAATGAATCATTCCTCGTTACATTTACTACGCTTTGTTACTTAAACACAAATCTTTCTGTTATAGCCTGCAACTGATCTCAACGGCAAATATGAAAGGCTGATGTCACATAAAGCTGGCGGCAAGGTCCTGGCCTGCAGTATATTTAGAGGGATGTAAATAGCACAGCAACAGTACTTGTAAAACTATCCCGAGATCACTATAACAGACTAATTATACAGATACCACCAGGAAAATGATACCTAAAAACACTTTACAGACATGTTATATAAATGTATAAGACTTTGCGCAATTCCATCTAACAAATCCGAACTATAAAGGCAAAAAAAAAAAAAAAGCCCATCACCAAACTTAGTACAGTTGTTAGTGCAGAGATGCATCAGCCAGGTGGGAAGAAAACTCCATCCAGCATAAACAGCTTAAACATAAAGAAAAAGTCTCCAGGTTTATTCCACATGTTGTTTAAAAAAATAAAATAAATCCATACCTTCAGCCAGCTCGAACAACAATCAATCAAATCCGGATTCCTCCTCTCGAGATGGACCGACTGATCCACAGGAGGAATAAAGTGTTTATATGAAGTTGACGCGTCGTGCTGTAGGGGGTGGGTGGTGGGGGGGGGGTTCTTAAAGTCCTCGGTCCTTTTGTGCCTTTTCTCGCAACTTTCCCAGGCAAGTCAAAACAGAGATTTGGGCACCGGTCCGAGCCGCGCCCATCAGCGCTGGAGCTTGGCAAGGGCAGGTGTAGTAGACGGCACGGAAGGCTGGAGCTTAAAAAAAAAAAAAAAAAAAACAGAAAGAAAAAAGTTTAAAAAGAAAAAGAAAAAACAGCGCCTGAGGGAACCAATTAAGTTGTCAGACTCACCTCTGCAGAGACAGATAGTCGACTGTGAAAAAGAAGAGTGATGAGCGCCTCCTCCTCCTCCTCCTCCTCCTTTTGCTGCTTCTGTTTGTCTGCTTTGGTCAACACTTTTTCGAAACTGGGCAAACTTTTTTGGAGGAGGTGGGATTTCTTTTTATTTCTTTCTTTCTTTCTCTTTCTTTATGGATTGAAGGAGTACAACCATCTCATGGTCTGCTGATCTATTGTGTGTAGCAAATCCAGCAGCTGGAACACATCTGGAGCACACATTGGAAGTCGAAACAGAACATTTAGTCTATATGGTTTCAGCCACTGTGTTATTACATAACCAAACAGCATTTTACCACATGCACAAACACTTTTTTAGGGCAAAAGCAGCGTGCAATCTCACTATATTGCAATTTTACCTCCACGTCTTTTGCACAAAAGGCACCTCTGCATGTTTGTGCAGCTGCTGGAGGATCAGTTTTCCTGTTTACAGTTGAGATTAGGGATTATGATACTTCTCATCTGACTCTGGAGATGAAGCATCAGACTGTTTCCACCACAAGCACACTCCCATGTGAGCTGTTTTTAACTTTATGATCATAATGAAAGTTCCCTATCTATTCATTTTGCATTTTGAGCCAAATTGGATGCTTTATTCATCCACTGGCAGCCGCAAGTGGCAGTAGGATCCCTCACCCACCACACCCAGTGTAGACATCTACCCACCCTGCATGACTCACAGTGAGCATGACTCCAATCTGCTCAAATGATGGAAAACAAATGGCCCCAAGGACAGTTTAACGGAGGAGGAGCTGCTCCAACTCACATCTATGTGCAAGCTTGAATAATGCCATATCTAACGGAAAGGGGCTGGTTTAAAACAACAGATTCCTAACTGGCTTGTTCAGCCATTTTTTTTTTTTTTTGGCTGAAAACACACTCATGTCTGTGTTTAGGATAACAGCTTTTCAGAGGAGGGCTTGTTCTCTGAAACAAGGGGGGGGCAGTAGTTTAAAAAGTGCCCAAATTAGGTGAGATTAGAGTTCAAAAGAAGTGCATTACATAGCAAAGAACTTAATCACTTCAGGTTCATCAAGATAATGTTACATATTAATGATTCGCTTTGAAAGTGACAGTAGGATGTTGTAAAGAAACCACCGGCTTTCCTCGGGTAAACCGAGGTGTTACATTACACAAACTGATGGGACAGATATTGTTTTTCCTCATGAAGCTGGCTGTGAAATAATCTCTTCACACATGTGTCTTCATCTGTCTGCTGAAATCTCCTGCAGGCACCATTTCTCTGCCAGTCAGGCATCACTTGTTTATTGTTAGCTATAAAAGATAATATATAGGACAGCTCCAGACGGGACGTTTCTGACAGTTTTAAAGAGATAAGTCTGAGGCTCATCTTTTCATGGATGTCACACTTTGTTCCAAGTTAAGCTGGTAAACCCTCTTTCTGGTAAAAATCTCTCCCGAGAAAGAACAGCAGAGAATAAATTCCAGGAAGGCGGCACTGTGTGTGTGTGTGTGTGTGTGTGTGTGTGTGTGTGTGTGTGTGTGTGTGTGTGTGTGTGTGTGTGTGTGTGTGTGTGTGGTCGAACAAAGGAGAGGCAGCTCAGGCCCTTGACTGGATTTTATCTGTATTTATGTACCTGGATACTTGGCTTAGAGAAAGTGATGTGGAGAGTTTATTTTTCATCTTGTAGAAGTCAAGTAGAAAACTTTTTCCCCAGTAACAGCTTCTAAATTGAGAAGATCTGCAGCTTTTCTTCATCTTTTTAATAATAGCTAAATAATATTTAGGTTTTGGAGTGTCGGACAAAAGCAGCAATTTGATATCATCAAATCAACCTTTAGGAAATTATGATTTTATTTAACATTTTATAGATCTAATGGTTAATCTGTTAATTCAGAAAAGAATAAGTAATTTATAGTGAAAATAAGAATCAGTTGCAGCCTCTTTATAGTCTTAATATGTATGTATTTTATAATTACTTCATTGACCGTGAAAGAAAACATACCCTCATCTCATTCTGGGGAATATTCAGGAAGGATCTGCAATACCCACAATCCAACTAGCACAACAATCAGTAGGCTACAGGTCAAACATTTCAAAAGCACTTTATTATTGTAGTCCTTTCTTCACAGAATACACTCTTTTTACAGTAGGAGAAGCACAGCTGTAAATAATGAAAAAATAACGATGGTTGGATTCCATTTAGCATGCTTCACTTTCAGGGTCCTGGTATTGCTCATGCTGCCTCGCTGTCACACAGTCGTGACTTACTGAGACACTTAAATAGAACTGAACCAACGTTAATGTTATTAGTAACACATGCACTCTATATGACCAATCAAAATGTCTGCTGTGAAAAAGGCTAATTACACCAGACCCAAAGGAGGCCAAAACAGCCACTGCTGCAGTGCACATTTGTTATGAATTAGCAAAGAACCCACATTAATAGGTCGTTTTGTGGCTGTGCCTTAGACGGGCCCTGCGCTGCCATTTAGAAAGCATGTACAAAGAGTCCTTACCACAGCGGCCCAGGTTTGATTCCAACCTGTAACTTCCCTCTGCTTTCTCATACTTCCTCTCTCTTCCCACTTTCTTGTCACTCTTCAGCTGTTCTATCAAAATAAAAAAGCCCCAAAACATAATCCTAAAATTTTTTCAAAAAAAAGCATGTTATGTAAACATGGAAGATGAGGAAGTGTTTGCAGACGGGACACTGGCACCAAATAAAAGGGAAACACAGAGATAGCAGATTGCAGATAACACAGAGTATCGACTGGAAATCAAAATAACCAACTAACCAAAAAAATACAAAACACCTTCCTCAGCACATCACAACTCCTCCACTAGAAAAAGGGACTTAAGAGAAAGATCAGATGTCAAGAATCTCCTGTGTTTAAGACTGAATTCAAGACGATCCATGCAAAATTACAAAATATTCAGACCATATTAGATGTGCAGAGGGGATAGTATCTCACTGCTGACCCATATGTGCATCTTGAGAGGAATTAATAGCCTGCACAAACATGACATGACATAATTTACGAGCGCCCAGCACACACACACACACACACACACAAACACACCTGCATTTGATGAAAGAGCTGGCACCCTCGCTCAGTCTCTCACATAGCCTCTAGATTCTGTAAAATCATACCAATGCTACATTTACTTCATACATCGCCGAGGAGCAGGCACACTATTTCATGTCAACTATTCAAAAGTAAAAAAGCACAGAAAACTTACACATGGTAATTATCTGTATCCCTCAGCTTTGCAAGATTCATCCATATAAAATGTTAAAAATCCCCATTCCCTCGGGTGGGGAAAAGTCAAACTGCCAAGTTCTGATGATCAAGTCTAGGCAGGATCACGTTTTAATTCACACCTTTCTCCCTGCAGCTACAGAGAAACCATGTTTTTTTTTTTAAAGTGCTGGATATCAGCACGAGTCTCAAAACAAACGATGAACACATCAGTTTATGGGAGTTTTAAATAAATCCTTTAATAGAGATGAATCAACTGATGAGAAGAGCTGAATCACAATGTGACTCGACCCTAGTAACGTGGGCAACCGAGTAACACTGCTTCAACAACGAAACTGTCCACAGGCCCACAAAAAAACCTTTCCTATTTTACTTCCTTTGAGGAGTTCATTTTGTGTCAATGTGTCTCCTTTTAATCCCACGAGAACAATCCCATCCAGTACGGCTCTCTCCTCTAAAAACTCTTTATGTATGTACTTCTTCCTTCTTCCGGAGGATCTGTCCTAGGTTTCTGCCTTTTAACAGGCAGTTTTTCCTTGCCCTTGTCGCCAAGTGCTTGCTCATGGTGGTACTGTTGGGTCTCTGTAATTAATGTTAAAGAGTTCGGTCTAGACCTGCTCTATTTGAAAAGTGTCCTGAGATAACTTCTGTTATGAATTGGCGCTATACAAATAAAATTGAATTGAATTGAATTGAATTGAATTGAATTAATTTAATGTGCTAATTTACTTATTATAATATGTATTATTATTAGCAGTGGTATTATTGGGGGAGCAACAAATTAACAGAGTTAATCAGGATATGAAATAAAAGGTAACTGCAATCCATTACAGTTACAGAAAAAAAAGATGTGATGAGATTACAGTTACTTTTAGTAAAAATGGGCATTGGCAGGATAACAATTTTAAATAAGTAAAGAGTAAAGAATGATATTATGCCATGCACATGCACAGTGTTTACATATTACAACTTCCTACAAGTCTCACAACACCTCTCTGGTCTCGAGTGAAACCATAGCATATTTTATAGTTGCAAAATATTAATAAGTTAATACATTTCCCAATTATTTTGTCCTTAAAGCAGAAAAGGGAACAACATCACAGTAAAGTATAAGTTATTACTTCCAGTTGTGAAAATGGTCTATAAGCTACTGCCTGAATTTTCTTAATGAAAAGCAAGTTTTAAAATAAACCCTGGGCAGACACATTTTTATACTAAAAATCTAACATTGTTCTTTTGTCTGAAAGAATAAGCAACATCTTATTGACTTCTTTTGTCTTGTCTTTATTTGCATATATGCCCATATATTAAGTTAATCCGAAAGTAATGAAAATTAATAAACAAGTTATGTTACTTTAATATTGTGATAGTTGGATTTGGTTATTGACTACATTTTCAACAGGTAGACTTTAAATGTATTATTATTTGACTAAATTGCCCCTATAATAAACAATAAACTTGTATCTGTGGTTTTGTTTTGTTCCTTTATAATTGCTACTAGAGTTATTGTGTCTGATGATGGAGCCAAGTCGATATAATGTGCGTTTTATGTACGTGAAATAACTTTAAAACTTCTGTTATGTTCTTTAACCTATCTAGTCGGTAAGAACTGCATTTCCCAAGATCCTCCTCTGTTTCGCGTCATCAAATTCTGTCCAATCGCTGACTTTGGAGGTTTTCTTGAGCCGCAAAAATAAGGAAAAACAGAGAAGTCTCTCTTCGCTTTCACTGGTTTATATATTTAATCAGCGTCAGGCGAAATATCCGCTGGTTGTTCGCTAGTTATCGGGAAGGCGTCCGTCTGTACGTCTGGTTGAGTGTTTGTGTTGGTTGGCTTTCTTTCGTGTTTGTTGAGAAGCTATGTGAATAACGTTAGCTAACGTAGTAACACGACGTTACTGTATCCACAGCAGCAAAAACAACGCTGGTTCACATGAGTCAAAGTGAGTTTAACCGATGGAGATCACTCCCAAATCAGCCAAATTCAAACCTGTGTGCTCTCCACAGTCCAGCCCCTGCGAGTATAAAGAGCAAAAGGTAGGTCGAAGGTCATTTTAATGCATGTTATTAGGGTAATATCAAAACTATTAGTTGTATCAGTTGATTGAACGTGATCTAATATCTGCTATCATGACACATAGAGACCCTGTCTTTTACTGTCATCCCCGCAGCATCATCAGAAGCTGAGTGCCTCACTGAAGGAGAGGCTGAAGAGATCAAGGCGCTCCTTCACCTCGCCCTCCTCTGTGGCCAAACGCCTTTGTGTTGATGAGGAGGAGGAGGATGGCCAACAAGTTTCAGCAGAGACAGTTAATAACCCTCCACTGATCATTCCTAGCATAGATGTAAACAGAAATGAGGCGAGATCAGGGAGTGAGAGATTTTCTGGACCCGTTCCCGAACCAGCACTTCTTCCCTCAAAAGACTTTACACAACAACTAGACCGACTGAGGAAGGAGGTTAAAGACAAGACGGAGACTCTCCGCAGACTCAAGATGGTTCAAATGTACAGAAGCAAGGTATCAGCCCCCTCCGGTTGCCTCTAACATGAAAAAAATGGGGTTTATTTTGCTTAAACTGGACTGAAAGTGGTGATTTTATTTGACTTTTCTTTTGTCTCCCTAGAATGATTTAACCCAGCTCCAAACCTTGATTGACAAGTGGCGGAGTTGTGCTCAGTCTGCGCTGTACGAGCTCCAGTCAGACGTCCCCATAGACGGAGGAAAGGCCAGCCTGTCGGGGCTTATTGACCTCTTTGGTCTGGAGGATGGGATTCTGCACTTTGACCGTAGAGAGGAAGACTTCACTGCCTAATAAATATGCTTTAAAACAAACACACACACATAATTTGTTGCAGAATAATAACTCCAGATAAATATCCTGGGTTAACTAGTTGTTTTATTTGTTGCTGCTATACCATTTTTGTTCACAGCTTAAGGTGTAAATTTCATGTTAAAAGAGAAAAGTAAATAAAATGGGGTTATCTGTTGAAAAGACTTTGCTCAGTAGTGGTTCAACTGATGAAGTAAAGGAAAGTTCTTCATCCTCAGACGCTCAACTTCTGCCCAGAGGAAAGCCAGATCCTCGGCCTGTGCTCTGGCAAGGTCCTCCAAGTTCCTCTTCTGAAGGATTTCCTGGTAGCGCTCCTCTTTTAGAGCCGCCTGGTTTTCCTCTGCATCTAAACAGCAAACACCATCAGTCAGAAGAGGCTCTAAAATCGCCCTTTGCTATGTATTTCATTAGAGCTGGAATTACTGTTTTATTACCTATAGCTTCACAGACGTGTCTCCTCTCTGCCACAGTCACCTGCACATCTGGTAGCTGCTGTTCTACAGTCGTGTTCTTCTTCGCTTTCCTCGCTGCCTGCCTGTTCAGCTTTTCGATCTTTTTTATGCGATGCTGCAGGCTCTGTTGATGAGTCTGAAAATAGAGAATAATAATATGTGTATTAAATTAACGTTCAGGTATGGAAAGTACACAATACGGAGCTGATTACTGAGCTCAAATAGTTACCTTTTCCTGGAAGGTTATGGTTTTCTCCAGAATGGAAACTTGTTTGGACACTCGACTGTCTCGATCTGTCTTGTTGAGATACTGGGAACAAATGGGAATGATTGGCGTGTATCAAGTGAGAACTTGGAAAAATACAATATAGATAAATACATGAAGTGTCTCAACAACCCTCGCTCCTGTGATGAGAGATCCCACAACATTAATGGCAAAAATGCATCATCATAAAATGTTCTCAGGATGCTTTTGTTTATATTTAAAGTTTTTCTCTCTCATGTTTCGGGGCCTAAACAATGACAGGAAGCTGTGTGCCACGCCTGAGCGGCGCTACCTGAGCCTTTTTCCAGAGGAAACTGGCATTCAGGCCTGAAAACGTGTTTTGTGTGTGCCATGCTCATCGACTTGTTGAAATTAAGATGATGGATGACTCATATGATCTTCATGTTTTCTTTCATTGCTCAACCACCACCTCCCTGTTGTTTTTTATATCACTAACTCATGAAATTCCTTGTGTTTTGTAATGTGTGCTAAGGGGTTAATGGATTGCAACCAGGAGAAAAGTATCCAGTGGTCTGTATTTAATTAAAAATGCCCGTTCACGCCTCAGATTGACAATTGCTGCCAAATAAAGCAGAGAAGCTTTTTCTGTTTTCGGTTTCTGTACTAGAATCTTAAATCATTGCAAAAAACATGGCTGATATGTTAAAACAGAGATAAAGAAAGCATAAGTACAGCTCAAACTATTGGGTTGCAGGAGTTTTAAAAGATATAAAAAGGAGGGGAAAAAAAGGGTGTGGAGTCTGCCGATCTACACAGATTCCCCACCCTATTTGTGTGTGTGTTTGTGATAACAAAAGATCACCCATCTGTTCTTAGGGATGGTAACAATTTTCTGCTCACAAAACATCTGATGCTGCCAAAACCAAAATACCTGCCTTGATATCACTGACTGAAGTTTGGCCAGAAATGCTAACAGGTTTAAGGTTTCACCCCAAAAGCCGACATGTCATCGCTATTTCAGGCAGATGCTGAACTTTTTGAATTTTGGGAATTACCATGAATTATGTAAAACGTAAAATCTGTTCACTATCTAGTAGAATTATTGCATAGAAAAGAGTTATTTAGTGCTTATTTCCTTATTGAGGCAAAGCCAGCATTTGATTTAGAGTAAAAAAGTCTAAAGAATAAAGGGTGTTCTAATAATTACACTCACATCTTGTTGGTCCTCAGTGAGTCGTAACATCTGGATGTCCCTCGCCTTGCTGTTGAGGTCCTCTATCTGCATCCTCATCATCTTGTGCTCCCACTGCAGCTGGATGATGCCCTTGCGAAAGTCTTTGCACTCTACCATGGAGGCTATTTTCTGCTCTCCAAGCGTCTGATTGTACAGATATTAATCATTTGACAGACACATATTTGTAAATAGATCCACCATAAGAACAAACATCCTTGAAGAATCTATGTTTTGTAACAAGTTGTGGTATCTGTACCCTGATGATTCTGTTGAAGTCCTCCACCACGCTCCTGTGGGTAAGTACAGAGTCAGTGTAGTCAGCAGTCAGGTCTGTGGTAGACAGCTCCACTTGGCCCTGTTTGAGTATGACCTGGACCATGAGGTCAGTCAGAAAATGGTTCTTCTCCTTATGCAGACTAGAAGAGAACAGGACAACAAAACCCAGTAAAGCACCATTCTCTACCACCATGGAGAAATAGAACACAGGTTACAGGTTACCGACAGTGAGATTAAGACTTGTGCCATCCTCTCAGGTCCTTCCTATAATCTGTCATACCTCTCAAGTTCATTAGAGATATTTTTAATTTCCTGTTGAGCAGCCTTATCCTCATCTCTCCTCCTCTGCACAAACGCCTGCATCTCAGCAAGAGTCAAAGCTTTTACTTTTACCTGCAAAGGAAAAGTCAAACAGTGAGGGGACAACTAGACACAAGACACAATAAAAAAATAGTTCAGTTTAATAGCTGGGCTGAGCATGATGTTAAAAAGTGAAAACCTTTGAAAAATATGCAAAGATGGAGAAGCTACATCTATAACTTGGAAAGCCTTGTTCGTGAGTGCAATTAGAAAGATTTATCTGGAAACAGACACTTTCTGTTTGTCTATAATCCCAATCTTTAACCTGTTCTCACCTTTTGCTCACTATCTACTTTCGTTCTGCGGACAACACAAAACCTCTCCCATATCGATGGGTTCAAGCCTTCTGGCATATTCTCCGGAGCATCCAGCTCCTCCATGGCCTGCAGCATTTTGCTAAGTGAATCGGGAGCCAGAGAACCGCACAGACGCTGCTCTTTCAACGGATTGGAGTTGTTGTCAGTTTGGGTCCTCATCTTTTGAACCCTGATGCATAAAAGATTGTGTGCTGCAACTGTTAAATCATTTACAACTTATAATGCTGATATCAAATCACGTAGCTTTCTACATATGAAGCTATGAGTCAGAACAACTGCATTATATTTCATTAAATGGCGAGTATTACAAACCTGGGTCTACGCTTGAATAACTTATATAGTTGATCAACCACATGAGTTGGTATATCAAAGAACTCCTTCCTGAATTCTTTGTCAAGAGCCTTGAGAGACATGGAGGGATATTATATTATGTATGGTCACCATCACTTAGAGTCACAATGATTTTACTATTTTTACCAGCTGGCTTACTTTGTCCTCAGCTACAACTCTATCATAGGTTTCATGAAACAATTCTACTTCTTCTTCATGTTTCTTCATCTCCTCCCCGATTTCATCCTGTCAGAGAAATATATGTGGATGAGATACGACTGGCAGTCGCGAACCCTGAATAAATGACCGTGCAGAACAGGTTAGCTCTTGCAAGACACGCCTAAGCGATGGTAACATTTTTATACTAGAATTTGGAACAACACCACTACCATTCACTCAGCGTGTCTCAGAAACTACAGAATCTGAAGCTGGCAGCCATAAATTCTTTCAGCATTACTGTGTTTGAGTTTTCTGACCTTGTGTGCCACAGTTTTTTCAAGTTTGAACTTGAGCTCCAGCTCTCGGTTTCTCATCTCCTCTTCTAGGAGGACTGAATAGATGAGATAAGTAATCTTGAGCTCTTCCTGTAAAATACATAAAACACAACATTAAAGAGGATGTTTTTTAAGGTGTCACAGACACAAGATATCACATCGCACAATTATCTGAAGGAGGAAACCACAATGAGAAGAAAGGCCCCTTCATTATGTGTGAGGGAAATGAGAAAATGGAAACAAAAGGAAGCAATGTGATGCAGATTGACTTGAGTCTGTCCATGTGTCACATACATGTAGTGTTTGTCTTTGTGTGTGTGTGTGTGTGTGTGTGTGTGTGTGTGTGTGTGTGTTGGCTCACCTGATATATAGCCATTTCACATTTCACTTTCTTTTCAAACAGCTTTGTCAAAGTCTCATCAAACTTTACAGTTGCATCTTTGGTGGATGCCAACAGTTTTTTCATTTCTGTTTCCAGTGTCTGCAATTACACAGTTTACTAGATGACTTATATTGATCACTGATCAGAAGTTAGTAATATTTGTAATCACTGCAAAGCAGGACTGTGATTTATCAACTGTACCTTTCTGTGTGTCTCCTTCTCCTCGATCAAGTCTTTGGATTTCTTTTCATACTCTTTATAGACTTTTTTCTCCTCCTCACTCCAGTTGATGCCAGGTTTAGTCAAAACAAACTCAGGCGGAGGTATTTCCTGTGGAGTCAATTCAATAGAAAGTATGTGACATTCATGCTGATTTGTCTAATTCAACTGACACTGACTAGAAAAGAATTCAAGTAAAAAAAAAAAAAAAAAAACAAGTCATAATTTGCCAAAAGAGAATGAACAGTGTCCTGTGTGAGTATTAAGGAGTTCATTTTGGCTGTAGTGAGATGTATTGTATATGTCATAAGAAATGAGTTCAGAGGTAGGAAAGGGTTTTCTTGTTTTGTGTAAACTCTTTGCATACTATCTAATTAGATAATAAATGAGCATCTAATAATGGAAATTCATCAAAATCCAAAAAACACATTTACATTATGGCAGTAACCAACAATCATTTTAATTATTAATACAACTTTTGTTAATTTAATAAGAAAGCTCTTTAAATCAGTCTTCAACATTTAAACTAATACAGACAGAACAATCTGAAATTCCATGTGTGTGTCTCTGGGATCAATCTATTACAGTATTAGTGCTTTAACAAAAATGTGAACATTTTGACACACCATTTTCAAGATGTCCTCTTTTTTCACTTCAAGCACTCCATCCATCATGTCATCAAGAGCCCTGTCTCTGAAGGAATCACCCTGCAATAGAAAGACACAAACCTCATCAATATGACAGAACTGAACTACTTTTGTTTATGACTTGCTGCGTATGCTGCATATCACATTGTCATAAGCCATTAATATATTTCATTTCATTCAGGTAAAGGACTGTTAAATGTACTCTTACATAGTCAATAATCCTAGATGTAGTTTTCATATATGGAAGTATCTGAAGAATTTGTAAACAGCGACATACAAGAGTGTGAAAAACAAAAACAAATTTATAATGGCAGCATACCTTGGCAGCCAAACGTCTTTGCTCTTCCAACTTCTTCTTCTCCTCCTCCTCTTTCTGTTCTGGGGTGAGGTACTTTTCAGCTTTTATCTAGAGTGGGACAAAGGCGCATATCTCTCTGGTGAACTGTGAAAAAGCCTCTCATATGATGATAATCACATACTATTTCACAATTTGCTAAAAACAAACAAACCACAAAATAGTTCAGGATGTACACTTTGTTTGTTGAACTTTCTGTGAACTTTGTCAACTGTTTAAATGTTTCATGCGGAGGTCAGTAACCTCAGAATCGTCCACGGTCAGAAGCCTCTCTGGCTGCTCGTTGGTGGTCAGGCTGGGTTCCCACAGCCTGTCATTCAGGTCCAGCTCCAGCTTGATCCCCCTGATGTGTCTGTTCCTCTCCCTCACACGGTTGAGCTCCTGCAACTTCTGCCTGTGCACGGCCTCAAAGTCAGCGTTGAAAGCGGTCTTGATGCAATAAATCACATCCTGCATTCGGAGAGGAGTGAAAAAATACTTTTTGTGATCATGACAATATTCATGTATGACAGTTCTTATTAGGTAAGTCAATTAGGTGTTCTTTATCTAACTTTGCTTTTTTTGTCACTTCTTGCTTAAGTGTGTGTGTTGGTCACTGTTTTAGAAATATAAAGGCGTTATTATAACACTTTCGCTGAAATACAACCGTTTTTGAACAGGTTCCCACCTGCAGCAGAATTATCTGGTTTATCCTCTGTTCTGTGGTTTGCAGGCTGAACTGATCGTAGATGTAAGGACTTGAATATCCTAACTGAGTGGAGAAACTTCCTGTTACAGCAGCACTCCCTGACTCATGGTCTTCATCCTCCTGCTCTTCCTCCTTCGCACTGGTTGTGTCTGAACATTTCTTCAGGTTGCTCTGCTGCAGTTGAAAGGTGGGGAAAAATAGAGTGAATCAGAAGGCTGAAATAAATGTTACGTTAAATGTAAGATTATAAACTTCATCACAAGAATATTGCAGTGAAGAAAAGTATTTTGGCCACACAGCCATAAATCTACAGAGATTTCAACACCGGTGGACTGGCACGT